TGGGTGGTCTGGTCGTTGGTATCTAATCTTTAAGCCTTACCCGACAATTTGCCACTGTCACACATACGTCTTCATTTGGAAGAAAAACTCCGACAAAAAAGAGAAACCGATTCAATTTGAATTGCATCCGATTCCAATTGTCACCCTGCCTTCGTGATGGGATGCCTGGCCTTTCTTTCTCCCCCCAATTTTTCTCGCCATCCCCATTCATCCATTATTCTCAGGGCTCGAAAAGTCGTCACAATACGATCTCCAAAGGAAAAGCCGGAGGCGTGATAGGTATGTATGGCAAAGGCAGACGACTTTCTCTACCCGAGGAACAATCTGGCGGCACAAATGACGGTTTGTCGGCAGTCATACACACGAAAGCTTGGGCTAACCTTGTAAACTCGTCCACGTCCAGTTATCGCCGATAACTTATCGGTCAAACCGTCGTCCATACAAATCTAAAAGAGACACAAGTTCGTCACCGTGGACAAATTCTTGCGTAAGACATATGTTTAACATGGGTAACATAACAGGTCATTAACCTGACCCCGTCAGTTTGACCTGCGACAAATGACCCAGAAAGACCCTTGACCCAATATTCGGAAGCGTGGGGACACAGGAACAATTCACGGGTATTCATTCAATGTCCCCACCATCTCCCCATGTTATATAAACCCCTTCCTCTCATATTCTACAATGTTAATGCCCCCACGGCTTCCATGGCCACTGGACTACTTGAACAGCTTTGTGTTTATCGGGTTTATGTACCCGGTTCGGAAAACGGGCGGAATAATGGGAACAAAATTTAAGAGGGGATTCTTTTTTCCTCTATCTTAAAGAAAGACGAGCTGAGAAGAAGAAGAAAGGGGAAGAAGTAAACAATGAAATGCCATTTGTCACTTTCCGATCTTCCCATCTCTCCAACTGCCATTCTCATCCGAGAAAAAGAACGAGTAGTTAAATGTTCTTCAAATCCCTGGAAAAACGACACCCACAGATATTTTGCAAATGACACAAGGCATATAATTCGAAAGTTGAAAGTTTCCGAAAAAAATGTTCCCATTGAAAAAAAAAGTTTTCTTAATCCTTCAATATCTGTTGGTATTATCATAATGACACATAACGCTTCTAAAAAAATATATAATTCGACAGTTGAAAGTTTCCAAAAAAATTGAAAAAAACAGTTATCATTCCTTAAATATTTGTATTCTGCTCCGGTCGGTCCGTATCAATATCAATCTACTAAATTTTAATAGGCGGTCCCTCCTCTTCTGGACAAAAGAGAAATGAAAGCAACACGGCAACTTTGGTGGTGGTTCTAAAAGAAGAAAGTGAACTAAACTGTAAATCCCAGTGGCAAATGACTCCTCTTCTCACGAAAGAGAAAGTACCACCGGAGAAAGAAAGAGAAAGATACGATTGTGCAGCAGCCGAAGTTGTCGGCTAACCATCCAGAAACTATTAATACTTAATGACAACCAGAGATCTTCTCGACTTTCTCCATCGAGACAAAGGCTACGACAAACAGGAAGGTGGTGAGACGGACGGAATTCTGTGTCCCCCTTGCTTTCGTGATAATTTATTCCCTTAACAGCAACACTAACTAAAAGTCTGTACGAGCACATTTTGTTTATTCATCTCTCAGAAATTAATGCAAGTCAGTCAGAGAGAGGTTAATGGGTAATAGATGAGGCGATTAGGGCGAGAACGTCGTTTAAACTAGTTGCCTGCATTTCATCAGCAGTTAAGAAATTCTTGTTGAGTCACATAAAAACAATTGTCGTCAAAGTCATGAGATGACACAATCTGGGTCTTATTACTGTCGTGAATTCAATTCATATTGTGGATTTTTTTGTTTCACTCACTCACGTCAAATTGGGACACAATACTTCTTTTGACAGTACAATTTTTAGCGAGATTTTTCCCAGAAACAAAACCAACTTGACATTGCAATTGACTTGAGAAAGGGAAAAGCCCAGAGTGCAGGCTTTCTTGAGCCCGAGTCAGGGTGTTACTAATAATTGAAATGGGTATAATACGGCCACGGCAACTTTTCCATTTTTCGAAAGATTTTCCATATTTTTGAACTTGATTCCTAATTTTGCATGTTGTACGTGTCTCCAAAATTTCAAGACAAGTTCTACGAACGTAATCGATAGACAGACAGACAAACAATCATGACGGGTACATAAGCCCATCTTCCAATCTGACTCCTAATTTTAAATGTTCTACGCGTGTTCAAAATTTCACGTCGATTGGACTAGTTTTACGAGCGATATACAGACAGACCTCAACTACGACGGGTGCATAAGCCCTGACTCGGGCCAGGAAAAAAGTGGTGCTCTCATGTCACTCCTCATAACAACAAATAGGGAGCAAACTTTGTTGCAACCTGACATGACCCAGCTCTCTGAACTAAAAAGGGTATAAAAGCCATGTTGTCTTTATCACTTCCGCTCCACGGAAAATGGACGTAATTCGTTTGTGTATGTACCCAAATAAGTGTTAAGGAGCCAAACAAATAAGTGGTGGTGGTATCACGTCATGAATGGAAACATATAACGTGCTGCATTTCTTTTCGAGCTGCGATACCACCACCATTTTCAGGAAACGAGTTCTGATTCCGTGAAAAACAAAATGAAAAATGTGCTCGAGAAAAGATATCTCTCTCTCCCAGTATGCTTGTCATCTTATGTTTTATTTGCTCTCTTTGTGTCTGACACAACTTTCCACAATTTATTTTCAAGCGTTGAATTATTTGTTCAATCCGCCCAGCACATCTTCGTCTAAAAGAGAGAAACAGTGGCCGCGGAAGGGAGACAATGTCCCCACGGTTATTCGATGTCCGCATCATCTGCCCATCTTATATAAACCCATCCCTCCCCCCATCCTACAATGTTAATGTCCCCACGGCTTCCGCGGCCACTGCTTATCTACAGAAATATGTATCTACAACAAACCGATTTTTCAAGATTCAATGTCTCTCTTCTTCTTCTTCCTGAAGTCGGAGAAGAAGGAGGACTAAAGTGCACGCCATTCCTCTACTGCTCTACCTTTGGTTGGTGTTTCGTCGTCATCATGAAGTGAAGTTAGAGGAGAGTAATGAGCCGTGAATTTTACGAGTGTGGAAAGAAAGAGACACTTGAAAAAGTTGAGAGCGTGATAACAGATAATAGAATTTGATGCGAGAGGAAGAAAAAAAGAAACGTATGTATTGAATATATTGACAGAATAGAAGAAAATATTTGACGAAATGGGGTGTTTTTTATGATAAGAAATTCTAACAAGGGAGGTTTCCCAGCGTATGCTGTCCGATTTTGGGCAAATTAGTGTAAATCGATGAAAAATTTAACTAGTATGAAATTTGGGAAAGACACGATCTCCCAATTGGCACGTTTGGCAGAGATATTTGCATCCGAAGAGGAGAAAACGCACCTCAAAGTCGACAAATTTAACACTTTCCAAATTTACTGCACGTTTTCTCCCCTTCGGATGCAAATATCTTTGCCAAACGTGCCCATTTGGAGATCGTGTCTTTCGCAAATTTCATCCTAATCAAATTTATAGTCGAATTGAGACTATTTTACTCAAAATGGGACAGCGTCCGCTGTGAGACCTCCCTTATGAGTCATACTTCATAAAAAAAACCTACCCTAAATGACTAACTCACGTATGAAGTCGCGTATTACGAAGACAGAGCACAAAATTAGCACAGATAAATAAATCAAAGTCTATACACATCCCCGATTTTGGAATAGATTCATATCTCGCTAGCAAGAAAATGGTGGTCTTTTATTAGACCGGAAATCAGCCACCTTTTCGCTGACTTTGGGATCTGTACGTACGAAGTGCTCGAGAATCGAGGAGGATTTAGTGAGTGAGTGAGTGAGAGGATGATGAACAAGTGGATTAATCAATCAGAAATCTGACATGACGGGCGTACTCTCGTCTCGTCTCGCTCCCCTTTTCACCCAGCTACTAATAAGTAATGAAGAAGTAATGTGATTTAACTGGATGGATGTATGCGTAGATATTAAAGCTAAGCTAAGCTAGCCGTAGGGAAGGATTCGATGAGAGGATCTATCTCCATTCATCCACAAAAACCTAATTTTCCGCCCAACAAGCTCTCCTCTCCAGGACGAAAAGTAGGTGGTAATCATTCCAATTCAACACTTTGATAGCGTTATTAAATGAATATGACGTTGGATCAACTTTTCGGAAATATATTTTTTTTACATGTGAAAACTTTAAGGGTTGGTTGCGTGTAATAATAAGTAACGTGACGACGAAGCCAATTATGCCGACGCATATTTACTGCTTTATGTACGTACAGTGGCCGCGGAAGCGGTGGGGACATCTGGGGCCATTAAAATTGTATGATAACTGGAGGGAGGGGTGCGGACATTGAATTACTGTGGGGACATTGTCCCTCTGTCCACACGCTTCCGCGACCACTGTATTATGTTCATACATTTGAGTAGCCTGATTTCTCCCAGTGGCCGCGGAAGCCGTGGGGACATTTGGGGACATAAACATTGTAGGATAACGGGAGGGAGGGGTTCACATAACATGGGCGAGATGATGCGAACATCAAATATTTAACTATGTGGACATTGTCTCTCTGTCCCACCCACGCTTCCGCGGCCACTGCATCCCCACATATTCTGCGTGTTCTCTCTCTCTATCTGACACATCTTGTCAGTGTCAGTCAAGTCAGTCCATAGTTACGCGAAAGCAGCTTGAGCTTCTTGAGTGGAGAGAAAGTAGAGAGAGAGAAAGTTGCCAATTTTGAGAAATGCCGATGCCGTGCGACATGCTCAAGTGGGAGAGAAGAATGATCAGATCCATGCCAGCCAGCCAAATAAATGCTACTTACCAAACTTTCTCCTTACTTGCTGTACAGTATTATTAGGAGAAAATAAATTTCTCTGTATGACGAATGAAAATCGGGGGAAGAAAGAGCTGCCCACATTTTTTTCCGTTACCAAAATAGAAATCAATGATCTTCTTACCTTGCTCCTGCCATCTCCCATTGTCGTCGTCGAAGTTGACGAGGACGAGTTGACCCCTGCTCCACTGGACTTGGACTTTTTGACCTTTTGTTTCCTCTGCCTGTCGTCTGCAGAAAGAGGAAGAGGCGGGTAGAACTCTGCACTACTTGGAGGTGGCGAAGTTCCCGTGGATGTCGACGTCGTGGATACGGAAACTTTGCTCTTTTTCTTGTTGGGACCGGGAGACGAGGCAGACGTCGTAACTGCTACTGCTTTGGTATCCTTCTTCTTCGTCTTGGGCCCGTCTGCAGAAGTGGAAGTGGAAGTCGAGGTGGTGGTGGACGAGTTTCGCCTGCTGGAAGGTTTGGAAGATGAAGAAGAAGACGGAGTTTGGTGGTGGTTATTCTGCTCTTTCGAACTTCTATTACTCGCCGTGCTCTCCCTTCTGCTGCTGCTCGACAATATTTCTGAAGACTTTCTCTTCCCAACTTTTCCTGGTGGTGGTGGTGGTGATGACTTTGGCATAAAAGCGATGGGAGGTGGTGGTGGGGACGTGGAAACTGAGACAGAACTTGATTTGGTTTCCTCCTTCACTTTGAGAGGGGGACTACTTACTCCGGGGGGAGGGATGCTGCTGCTTCGTTGTTTTTTGTCTTGATTCTCAAAACTGAAACTGGCCTCGAGAATAGCTTTCGCATTGAGGGACGCCATCCGCTTAAACTTTGCGCGAGGTTTTACCTTCGTCTTTTTACTGGGGGTGGAAGAGGCTTTCTCTTTTTTGGTATCTTTATCTTTGTTCTTGGGGGCTTTCCCTTTGCCTGGTTTTTCTTTTGGTTTTGATTTTGTGGAAGAAGAAGGCTTTGCTTTCCCGGAGGACTTTTCCGTGCTGGATTTGTTGCCTGACTTGGAGGGGATAAGCTTTTTCTTCTTGGAGGCGATAAGGGATGCGGCGCCACCTTTCTTATTGATAACCTTTTTATTATTACTGCTAGTTTTACTACTACTCGGCTTGTTTCCTTTGGTGGGGGATGATTTGCTGTTTTTTGTGGGGACTACCTTCTTCTTGGCAGGGGTGGGTTTGGTCTTCTTCTTTTTGGAAGCGGGGGCAGAATCGGTGTCGTCGTCGTCATCGTCACTCCCATCACTTGAGGATGAGTTCGTGGTGGCGGGGGAAGAAGAGGCGTCATCGTCACTGCCATGAGGAGAGGATGCCTCGTCTTCGTCACTATTTTCTTCTGTGTCGTCGTCATCTTCTTCGGAGGAGGAAGAAGGGGATGGCTTAGATTTGTCGGCATCACTTTTATTATTAATGGACCGCTTATTTTTAGTGGTAGTAGTTGCTTTAGTAGGAGTTTGTTTCGTAGTGGTGGTGGTGGATTTCTTAATATTCCTGCCACCACGACCGGTGGCAGTGGTACTGCTGGTGGTACTCCTGCTACTACTACTGTTTTCACTGGAAGAACTATTATTCTCGTCAGCCGAGGAGGAACTGGACCTTCTTCCCCTTCCACCGGATTTCGGTGGTGGTGGTTTCGATGGTGGGCTTTGCTTTCTCTTTTGAACACCTTTTGTTGACGCCGCCTGCTTTCCTTTCGGAGGGGGGACGTCCTTCTTATTTTTTAGTGACGTTTCACTACTCTTTGTGACCGATGATGAATTGGACTTTCCCTTCTTTTTGGGGGAGGTTGTCGTGGTGGTGGTGGTGGCAGTCTTTTTCGTATTCTTCCCTAATTTCGGGGTTGGCGAACTGGAGGCTCGTCTACTTGTTGACGGTTCTGGTTTTGACTTTGATGATTCTTTGCCTCCTTTTGTGGGGGCCAATTTCTTGCCCGATTTGATATTATCTCGCCCACTGACCACTTGACCAGACGAGTTTTTGGAGAGCCTCCGTTTGAAGAGGGAGGTCGAGATTTTCAACGGTTTGGAAGGGGCAGCTTTCTTCAAAAGTTGTTTAGCTTTCCCCATCCTGCCAGCCTGCCCGTCAGTCTGATCGAAGTTTAGTTATTGATTTGTGGGACTGGTTGGGTGTGCTGCTGACGAAGCGGATACTTGCTGCCCATTAAGACTTTTCCCCTGGTTGGTCGTGGTGGTGGTGGTTTTGGTGTGAGAATCGTGGGTGGGTGGAAAATGTGTGTATGGATAAGATTAAAAGATGCGATTAAAGACTTTGTTCTTTGGTTTGGTTGAAAGGCATGCGTTAGTTAATTATTCTTCTTTTTCTTGTGGGGATGATGATGGATGGATGCGTTCCTCTGTCATTATTATTGCTGCGGAGGTGGAGGAGAAAGCACCTTCGGCAGCGGAGAAAGGAAATCCTCGAGGAAATGTTTGGAGAGTCCGGGGTGACTACCTGGATAATTGTGGCGAAGGAAATATGAGGATAGATTGATGATGCATATGGGTGAATATCGACTAATTAAGGTCAAAATCACCACATTTTTAATAATTTTTCCCCTCTGGGAACTTATTTTAAAATTCTGGACGACAAATTTGTAGTCGGTGAGTTGATTAATGGAGTGGCGATAACTTTCTTAGGCCAGTTTCAATGAGTTCCAATTTGTCTGAAGGTTTCTTAAACTTGATATCTCCTCCTTCAAAAAGTGTCAAAATCTGGAGTGGATATTTTTAAAAAATTGGCAACTCCCTGCTTTACAAATTTATCGTCCAGAATTTTAAAATAAATTCCCAGAGGCGAGAAATGATTTAAGATGTGCTGATTTCGACGATTTTGATGATGAGTCCTACGTAAATTATTAAGGGAAACGAATCCCGAATTTTGTTAACAAAAGCGGATTCATAGCAAACTGATAACGCCAAGCTTAAAAAAAGTTAGAAAGCAAAACTTGTGCAATTAGTGTTGTTTGATCTCGGATACAGATTTTAAAGCAGCATGACTGATGTGATGTGATGTATGTCGGCTTTCAGGGTTTTCATCCCTTTGTCCCGTTTGGTCGGATTATTTATACGGGACACACAAAGTTCAACCCGGACTTTCCGGGATCACAAACCCCGATCCGTCAGATCACCGGCAGATATTTTTAGTTTGTTAAAATCCTACTACAATACAACTGCCTTTGACGTGTTAGTATTTATGTATGTGTGGTTTGGTTAATGCGATAAACATACATGAAATGCAACACATTTTACGGACGTGGTCATTAATTAGTCGGAAAGAAAGATGAGAGGTTATCAACAAACAAGCGGATACGTACACCAGAAATTTGTTAAATCAAAATACGACACATGAACCATACAAATTTGCAAACAATTAGTAATTAATGCTACACAGAGATGGTTAAATTGTGAATTTTATATGATCAAAAAGAACAACTAACTATACACGCACCACACCACGCAAATTTAAGAATATTAATTAGTTGACCTACCTTATCGATGCCTTATCATCAGTTTCATCCCCTCGGTGAATCTCTGCTCTTCAACTTTCTCCAACTTTTACGGCATGTTGCAGGCTTTTACTTGTGAAAGAAAGTTATTTATTTTCCTCAACTCTTTTCTATTGTCCTCCTCCGGATCGTTGCGAAATTGTGGTGGTGTTAAGGTAAACTGTGAATTAACGAATTAATGCACAATTAACTTTTTGAAAACTTTGAACTTCTTTGAAGTTTCTGAAAATTTTTTCAAACGACAAAATAATCTATCTATTTTGTTATCTCACTGAACATTTTTTTCCAGAATCAGATGACAATGCAATTGACATGACGTAGTTAATTCAATATTTAACTAATTCTTCTCAAGTCTAATCAGTTTTTCCTCTACTTCCATCTACGTCGTCCAAATTAACTAACTAACTAACCAACCAAGATGTACATACATATTTAAGTTTGTTTATAATGATGATGATGATCAATGGGAATCCTTCTCCATACAAAAAAGAGCAACAACAAATACCAAACCAAAAGTTATCTAATTCTTAATTCTTCTTACCTTCTTGTTGACTTTGCATAATTTCGTATTTCTTCTTCTTCTCGTTACACCACTTCTTTTCTCAACTTGGACTTCATTTCATTATACGGTTTACGATACAACAAAGTATGTATACAAATTACACGCCGAGTACGATGTACACAATTCAAGTCAAGTCAATCATGTGCTACGTACGAGTCTAATATTTATATTATTACGAGAGATACAGACCGATGCTGCCGTTTTCTTTGCGAATATTCTTATTATTAAGTAAACTACTACGTACTTTACTTACTTAACAGTTCTTTTACACAATTACATTACTTTACTCCTTACACTTTTATTATACGGTCTCAAAACAGGCTACTAGATCCATTCCACCACCAAAATCCTCAATCCGACCGAGTCAATTCCACTATTTTTTTTTATTTCCACTTTTTGTTCCCTTATATTCCTTCTAAAAGCTGGCTTGAATTGGTGCATGGATCACGTTACGAATTTTGAGTCGTATATTCGGCTCAGAAAGGGGCCGTACATTAATTATGTATCGGAAAGATCGCGATTTTCTTAACCCCCTTACCCCTCCCCTAAGTAACATCTGTCACATAGGCACGATATCATTTGACCCTTCGACCCCCCTCCCCTTGTACTGTACCTCTCTCTCATTACATAATTTATGAACGACACCTTCCCTTAATTACGAATTTCTCTCGCCTTAAGGGCCCCTTCCTGTATCCTTTGGCACCCTTAATTACCCCACCACGGAGGACTTGAACAGCCCAGGGAGCAGTTTTACGCACATGAGCCATGACCTCCATTCCTGCATATAACAGATGTGACTCTACCCTCCACAGAAAAATGTTGGTCTTCCCTCCAAAGTTGGTTTAAAGTCGGGGATGCATCGCTTTTTAGGGGGGTTTTACCAGGGAAAAGGGTTTCCCGGGGGTGTTTTATATCTTGACCAAGTCCCCCGGGGTAGGGGAGGCTACCCGGATGCGTTGGAAGGACCGGAAGTGGGGGGAAAAGGCCCGGTGTGAAAGCACGGGTGGAGAAAGCATTTCATTTCGGAGGGGCTACAAAGAGCCGAAATTTTTTGGGGAGAGTGTATCTAACGGAGAGAGATAGACCAATGGGCAGATTTTGTCGGTCGAATAACTCCACCTTCAAAGAGGTCCGTCCAATGTTGGGGATCATTAAGAAAATGGATTTACACGCCCATTACGATGAAGATCTCGGAAAGAAGAGAATTTGCAAAGAAATGATGAAGATTTTCGAATTTGTGACTCTTTTATGAGAAAATTGCAGATTTTTGGGAGAAAATTGGAGGTTTTGAAGGATTTTATTATTTACGAAGATGCCGAGTTTAATGGGTGATGAGATGACGAATTTTTTATGATTTCTGCATTTTTCAAAATTTTATAAAATTTTATTTCACTAATTTAATCCGGGTGAAAGTTGTGTGGAGAAAGTAGTGCATTTTCTTCTCCCGACTTGTGTGCATAGTCTCTTTGGTGAAAATTGAAATGGTTTTAGACACGATGAGATGGATGGAATCCGGGCTAAAAATCCTGAGAAGTAAAATAAATTGTGAGAATGGGGGACTTTGAGACTGCAGTGAAGTGCAGGAAAATCATCTTTAGTGACTCGGCAGAAATCTGATCAACTTTTGTTTTTAGTTTCTTGCGCAAAATATTTCGTAATTTTGCAAATTTTGGTAAAAAAATAGTTAATAATGGCGACAGCAGTGGCAAGTGGGGGGCCTGGTATTGGGGTCGTGGTCGGTATCGACGCGGCGAGAGAGCGAGCAGTGACCGAGTATCGCAGGAGGGTCGCAGAACATCGCGACATTGAGGCGAGATTGAAAGAAAGTAAGTTTCTGATGGAAATTTTTGAACTTTTTCGATAAAATATAATGAATCGTCTTTGTTTGCAGTGCGAGAACAACTCAAAGAGTTGACGAAGCAGTATGACAAATCAGAGAACGATTTGAAAGCTCTCCAAAGTGTGGGGCAAATTGTGGGCGAAGTTTTGAAGCAGTTGACGGACGACAATTTTATCGTGAAGGCGACCAACGGGCCGAGATACGTGGTCGGATGTCGGAGACAACTGGACAAGACGAAATTGAAAAGTGGAACTCGTGTGGCGTTAGATATGACGACGTTGACCATAATGCGGTAATTAAATAGGATTTAATGTGGAATATTTAAGATGATAAATGGAATTGTGAAATTATTTATTATTATTTGCAAAAATAGCTATCTTCCCCGAGAAGTGGACCCTCTCGTATACAACATGAGTCACGAAGATCCTGGAAATGTGTCCTACGGAGAAATTGGAGGTTTAGGAGAACAGATTCGTGAACTGCGAGAAGTTATCGAGTTGCCGTTGATGAATCCTGAACTGTTCCTTCGCGTCGGTATTACTCCGCCGAAAGGTTGTCTGCTCTATGGACCGCCAGGAACGGGAAAAACGTTGCTGGCCCGAGCCGTTGCTTCCCAGTTGGACGCAAATTTCCTTAAAGTGAGGGAGACAATTAATGAGGAATAATTAATTATGAGGATGATGACTAAATATTTATGTATTTAGGTCGTGTCCAGTGCTATTGTTGATAAATATATTGGAGAAAGTGCCCGTTTGATTCGAGAAATGTTTAACTACGCTCGAGATCACCAGCCTTGCATCATCTTCATGGACGAAATTGATGCCATTGGAGGGCGACGATTTTCTGAGGGTACTTCCGCTGATCGAGAAATTCAAAGAACTCTGATGGAGTTGCTTAATCAAATGGATGGTTTCGATACTCTCGGACAGGTGTGAATTTTTATTGCAAATGTATTGAATTTAATAATTAACTAAATATCTATACTTATTTCACAGGTTAAAATGATTATGGCCACCAATCGTCCCGACACTCTTGACCCTGCTCTCCTCCGTCCTGGGCGTTTAGATCGTAAAATTGAAATTCCACTTCCAAACGAGCAAGCTCGCCTCGATATTCTCAAAATTCACGCCGGACCAATAGCCAAACATGGAGAAATCGGTATAAAAATAAGCTCAAAATTGTGTCAAAAATTGTTTTAAAAAAATATTTACGTCTTCTTTTCTCTTTTTCAGACTACGAAGCCGTCGTAAAACTTTCCGATGGTTTTAATGGTGCCGATTTACGGAACGTTTGCACGGAAGCTGGTCTATTTGCGATCCGTGCCGAACGGGATTACGTTATTCAAGAAGACTTTATGAAAGCAGCTCGTAAAGTTTCAGACAATAAAAAGCTCGAATCAAAATTGGATTACAAACCGATATAATTATAAAATCTCAATCTGGAATTTGTACATAAATTAATTTATAAGGTTTAAAACTTTTTATATACATACATCTTAGCAAAAAACAATTATAAAATTTTCTTCAAAATTTTTCTCGCAATAACCAAATTGCTTAATTACCAGTGAAAGCTATTAAAAAATCGTATCTAATCTAATTTTTTAATTTAAGTATCACGCCCTATTTAAATGTGGAGAATGAGATGAAGTAGATGAAAATAAATGGAACCAAATCTTTCAAAAATTTCCGTATTACTGAAAATTTTTAATTTTGCTCAAAATTTAAATCGCATTGTTATCTTGAACATCCTCATCGTCCGACTCCAATGTCCACACGACGGATTTTTTACCACTTTGGTTCAACTTTGGAACCTTAATTTTCTTAATTGATGGAGACGGAACTTGAGAAACGGGGGCAGGAACAACTTTTTGGTCAACTTTCACCTCTTTCAGCACGTCCACCTTTTGGGACGGAATGATCAAGGACAAAGTTGGGATTGGTATCATGTCGTCGTCGTTGACACCAGGGTTATCAAGGTCAATCTCTCCTTCCGTTTTTTGGTTATCATGATCAACGACCTCATCGTTTCGTTGATCCTCATCGTTCGATTTCCGGCCAAAGAACCACCCGAAATGAAAGGTGGAACATAATCCTTCCATGGATGAGGATGAAGCGTCATTCTCTGCAGAAAGGTTACGTTCCTCGATGTACTTCTAGAATTTCAAAATTGGAAAGGTATTTTTAATTTCGAAATTAGAACTGGATTTTCAGTGTCAAAATTGTAAAGGATTTTCAATTTCAAAATTGTACAGGATTTTTAGTTTCAAAATTGTACAGGATTTTCAATTTCAAAATTGTACAGGATTTTTAGTTTCAAAATTGTAAAGGATTTTCAATTTCAAAATTGTACAGGATTTTTAGTTTCAAAATTGTACAGGATTTTCAATTTCAAAATTGTACAGGGTTTTCAATTTCAAAATTGTACAGGGTTTTCAATTTAATTTTCTGTATAATTTTTTTTTGAAACTCACCAAATATTCGCACTTATTCTTCCGAACTCGAGGATGGTTATCTCTCAAGTAGAAGAATCCCTCCCTGCTGCTCTGGTTGATGCCACACATGACGAAGACTTGGAGGCTTGGGTTGTGCTCGCCAAATTTTTGTACGCCCCATTCCGTGATCTATTTACATATTTACAATTCGATAATGGTAAATTCATAAAGAACCACAATTTCAAGATCAGGACGCCGCTAACGTTTTGATTATAAGGCAAGAATGCAGTCTCCAGTTCGGGAAATCTCAGTCCGAAATGAATCCCGACATCGGTAATGTGCGACTTTCCCATGAGAATGAGACTTCTTAAACCTGTAATAAATATATGCAAAAAATGGTCATATTTTAGGAAACCAAAAAAATACAGACGTACAGATTCTCGTGTCCGTCGTGTCGCAAATCTATGTTTCGCTTTGGTGTTCAAAACCTTTAGTGTCAAAAAACTGTACCAAAGCCCAAAATGTCCAAAAGCATGCAACATTGAAAAACCAGGAAAAATTTATTTATTAACGATTTTTTTGCAAATCTATGCAGATACATATGTAATTTCCCATTAATTTTGAACATTTCGGTGTGTAATTTGGAAAAACTTTTGTCCAACACGTTTTTTATGAGAAACGTAACCAACCTATCAATCACACATCAATTGCACACCAAGATTCAATCAATGGGAGATCACATATAGATCAACGGATTTTCAATAATCAAGACTTTGTTTGTATCATTTTGCCTCATTTTCTATTTTGGACACTTTTGGACATTGTGGACGTCCAAAATTCGATCTATTAAACTAGTTTTAACTAGTTTTGAAGACTATTTTGGACAGTGGTTAAAACCACAGCGAAACCTTACAAATAAATATGTACATACCTCTCAATTGCGCCATTGATCTCCCATTACTCGCCCTAGAATCCGCCACCACTGACTCCTCCTCCATCTCATGATAATTCCTCAGCCGCACCATCATCTCACAACTATTCCTAAGAATCCCAGTGACCCCATAATCCGTCAGAAAATCACACGCCGACACACTCAAATGTCTCAAGAGTGGGATCCCCTCCACCAAAACTTGCATATCTTCATCCTGTATGACCGGAAGTTCCGATAAGATTTCCAACTTGACGAGAAAATGAAACTTCTTAATAATTTTGAGCAACTCGATCCCGTTGATGATCGTGGATCCCAAACCCAGCTCGGTAAACTTGTCCCAAACTCCGGTATTGATCGGGGGCCCCACAAAATTGTAGGCGGAGCCGGACAGGGCTAAATTGAGGTCAAGATGCGCCGGCAGACCGTGCTGGAAACTTACGGGGGTTTTCGGCTGCTCAAAAATTTCCGACCGTAGCGCCACCGGCAAACCATTGTCGCCCGTGGATCCGCCGAGATACAGCTGTTTCAGAGCACCAAATTTCGTAAGGAACTCTTTCGGCAGATATTCCTGATTCGGGAGGGACAAATATTCCACCTGGGGGGACAAGCTTTGCCCAATTTTGACCCTGTAATGCTGTTCCCCCATGTTCCGGAAATGGGGCAACGCAGCTGTTTTAAGATTGACTTGAGATTCCAGTAAACCGATGAGGATTTGGGCGGAGGAGGTGCAATTGAGGGAAATTTCGACGTTATTATTATTCGCCGAGGAAGGAGGACTGAGCAAAAATTCCTCCAAGTTTAGCTCGGTCCATAAACTATTCATTTTTCCGAAGACGCTCGGCAAGAAGATGTTAAGGAGGGGCTGGTACTTCAAATCCATGCAAAGTCTACGGAGTTGGAACGTGTTTGCTTCAATAATTGTGCGGACGAGGGTGCAAAATGTGTCCATGTCGGGGAGATGGACGGAGCAGGGGTCAATTTCGGCCGCGTCGTGAATTGAGGAAGGAGGGGAATTTATAACCGTGGAAGGGTCAAAGGTTATCCAGATTTCTTCCAAAGTTTTGCTGCAATATCCAACCAACTTTTCGAGGAAGATGTTAACCGCTCGGATATCGTGATATTCCTGAATTTTGACCGACTTCAAGTGCGAGAAGGTTCGACCGACGCGAAATTCCTCAAATTCGCTTAACGCCGAGGTATTTTTCTTGTCGACGAATTTGCATCGGGTCAAAACCAATCGTTCCAAGGCTGGCGTGGCATTCACGGTTCGTTTGATGGTTTCCCATGTGATGTAGGAATTCGCGAATTCGAGGGATTTCAAATTCGCGAGGAAGAGCGTGGGCGGAGAGAAGTAGGCGTTTTCGTGGGAATGAGAGTCCGTCTTGGCGCCGGTGAAGACGTCGTAGTCGATGTGGTCAAAGCGACAGGTTTCGTAGGGAGTTGAGCTTGAGGGGAGGAGAAGGGGGCCAGTGGATTTGGAAGATGACACGAAAATTGTGGAATCGATGAATAATCGCGATTTGGAGATAACGTGGCGAAATTGTTTGGAGACGAGGCGACATTGCAGGAGGTCGGAGTAGTTGACGTAGGATAAGATTTCAATGATGTGTCGGTCCTGAAATAGATAAATTTGGCATCATTTGACCGCGAATTGCATTAAAATTCTACTGAATGTGAAAGCGATTGCAAAATAAGTATATAATCGAACATACAATTTTTTTGCAACTTTGCAAATATGCATCGATGACTGGTCATTGTCATTAGTCATTACTCATTAAATTAAATTCTGGCTGAATGGGAAAGTGATACATATGATAGCAAAATATGTACATACGAACGAGATGCATGCATTTATTTGAGTAATCAGGCATGCAATTTTTTTCGCAAGTTTGCAAATATGCATTTACAGATTTTGCTTATTTACTTTCATGTTGATCCAGGCAGCAGACATGCCAAAATTGGTGACAGACTGTCCCGATTCTGACGATGAGAAGGGATCGTTATTCTCGTTCATGTCGGGCGTACTACAAAAGGGTCCAACTGTGCCGAATAATAACTTGTTGAGACCTTCCATGCCGCTCCTCGGACATAGAGAATTTGAACTAGAATTTGCGTTTCGCCGATGTTTGTGATGATGCAATTATATTTTATTTATGCCGTTATCAATTTTATTACAAAATATTTCGTCTCACGGTGAAGAAATATTGACGCCGTTTCTATGGCGTGGCGGGCGGAAATGGAATACCGCCACCGACGCCGACACCACCTTGGCCCCCAGGGGGAGGAGCGACCTTTGGTCACACCAACCAATCTCCCCTTCAGTACCGTTAGAGGAATGCAGCGGCCCATTTTCGATATCAGCATATCTTACGTCGTTATCCCTGAGGGGACAACCTTTATGCTGGCGCTTGGTTCGGCCACGGACGTGGGGACAGAGGGATAATGTCCCCACGGTTGTTCGATGTCAGCATCATCTCCCCATTTTATATAAACCCCTGCCTCCCGTATCCAGCCATGTTAATGTCCCCACGCTTCCGCGGCCACTGCTTGGTTTAATTAAGCTATTTTTGTCAAATAGTTCTTTATACGTTTCTCTCGGGAGAGAATATTTCGAGAATTATTTCAATAATTTGCCAAGTAAATATTTGTGATTCATGTTTGTTATGATGCAATTTGCGTCATATGAGACAATTCTACGAACAGTGTAGGGTTTCCGTATTTACTGTGTATGAAAAGATTGGGGTTATCCTCTTTTTTTTATTCCATTCATACTGGTCTCGAATATTCGGTGTTATCAGTTATTTGCTCGCCCTCATTTTCCACACGAGCAAGCACATGCTGACCAACCTGTGATACTATTTGACTTACGTTTGGTTTATTGGCTAGAGCAGTTGTCTCGATTTTTACCTACTGAAAAATTTTACTGGGGATAAGGTGCTTATAAAAAATCTTATTACTTTTTTCTAAAAACTTTTGCTACAAATTTTGCCAAATTATTTCACTGAAATATTTAATCACTATAAATCTATTTAGACTCACTCCTTGCGAAATGTTAGGATTCCGAAAAATTGCTATTTTGCAATTATTTGCCCTATTCTTCCACAATGGTCTAGGAGTTCCTTTAAGGAGACCTCCCATCGCCCTTCATCTCGACGACCCCATCCTCCTCCGAAATTCATTGCGGCATCAGTCCACGTCCATCCGACGCCCGATCGAGTTGACGATTGACCTCGTGCACTCCTTCGCCGACGACTGGACAAATCTCCTCGACCCGTCTGTAAAGTTACCGATGATCAAGAAAATTGAATTTGTCGCTACGACCCATCATCTCCAAGAAATTGGGGTCATTCTCTCCCAACTTGTGAAAAATGTCACGATAGAAGTTTCTGTAAAATTGAACATTCCAGATTTTCTTACGGACTTATTAGAATTTGACCTGAATCCTCTCTGGGATTCGATTAGTCGGGTAAATTCTGTAACTTTTTACTTTCTCAGCGAAGCTTGTACTCCAAAAAGTACAATCAAATTACCCTTAAATCTTCCCATAAATTCGGTTCCATTTCCAAAATTTATTTCGAAGTGTAAATTGTCCTTGACCTCCCCGTTTCCGCCGTGCCGGGAGTACGAGTTCGAAAAAGTGGATGATGGAGTGGGGGTCTACATGCTGAATTTGTGTCGATGCAGTGGCACTGGGTGCCACTAATCTAGTTCTAGTTAAGGTAATATAGTCTACGTCTATGCACTAATCTTAAGATATGCACATAGACGTAGACTATATTACCTTAACTAGAACTTGGATTTAAATGGGCTGGTTTAGTCATTGAGCTGGACACCACGATTTCTTGCGACGGAGAGAACCACACTAATAACGCACTTGTTGGTGCGAGTATTCAGCCGTTCAGGATTGTAGTGTGAAAATAAGTGTTAAATTTTAAATTTATCTTTACAAATGGACAGTAATTTATGACGTAATGAAAGTTAACCAGTTTTTGTTTCTAATGTTGTAAGATATCTCTCGAAAATTTAAGTCTTATTGACAAGTTGTTTACACGTGCCGGAGTAGATTCAAAAGATTCGTGCCATAATCATCATCATCATTTTTGGTTGTCTCTGCGAGCACCCGTGGTGCTCAGTCCATACACGCAGATCCCCCATACGTAATCATTGCATACGAGGTGCTTGGATATGCACGCCAAAGTTTTGTTGAGTTGACCAAGGTTGCTCGACAACTTTAGTGATATTTACATATTTTATTCAAAATACTACATACTGAACATACATACTACATACATGATGATGATATGAGATATTACATGAAATGATAATTAGTTGACCCACGATTGTTTGACAATTTCTCAATTTATTAAAAGACCAAGCGTTACTTTGATACTAAAAGTTAAGCAATCGTGGTGTTGACACTGTATTGACACACCGAAGTACTTTGCCAATTATGTTTAGAATAACGACCGTAAAGTATGTAATTGCGACCGTAATTGGCAAAGTACTTCGACGTGTCAAATAATTCATTTAATTTCTATGAAAGATTTAGCGTTTGAGATTCATCGTGACATAATTGGCTACATGGTGGCGTCCAGTTTAATCACGTTTGGCAAAATAAGATCATGGCTTATTTTTGCAAAATGTGAATGAGGTGGATGGGAACATGTAGCTAATTATGGCGTAGATGTACCGCTTACATATATGCAGACTTTCCATTTAGGGATTTTTTATAATTATTTGATACTTTGTGATACTAACAAATAAATAAATATGTAAATAATTATACTACTAGTTTTAGAATAGTGTGCAGAGTATTGCGAAAAAAATTGTTGCCAATAAGTGGGTTAATTTTGCCATTGCGGTACAATAATCTCGTGGTTTGTACGACTTCCGGTACAATTAAGACTGAATAAAATTAAGCTTTAGTACCAGTTTTTTTCCTGGGTGGACAAATTTTGTATACAATTAGTCATATTGTTTAAAGAAAATAATGGGATAATTTCATAACTTTGAGAAAAAAGTTGTTCATAAAATTAAAACTGAATAAAATCAAGTTTTACTCCTAGTTTTTGTCAGTGTGGATAAATTTTTTGTAAAAAAAAATAGTCATATTTTAAAAAACAATGGGAAAATTTATTGGAAAAAAGGTTCATATTTTCATCGCCTTGCTATTATTTTCTTGTCAATTAATTCAAACGAGTAGTCGACAAAGTGGTGAAAGTCGGGATGACGATGACGGTGTCCTCCTGTCAAGTAATGATTCCAGTGTGGACGAATTAACTTATTCGTCACATCCGGACATTCCAACTTTTGAATTTAGAACGTGTTGCCCATTTCAACACTCTTTTGACCCTAGTGGTCCAAGTCTTGGGCGACGAGAATGTCAGAATCCGAGGCATTTTCGCCCATTTGAGAGATATCCGGGCGTAATTCTAAATAGGTATGGTGAAGTATCAGCTTATCCTTAATTTATGAATTTGAACTAACAATGGACGTCTCCCAGCGTATGCTCTCAGATTTTGAGCAAATTAGTGTCACTCGATGACAAATTTAATTAGTATGAAATTTGGAAATGTCACAATTTCCCAATGGGCACGTTTGGCAGAGATATTTGCATCCGAAGAGGAGAAATCACGCCTTAAAGTCGACAAATTTTAAACTTTCCAAATTTACTGCGCGTTTTCTCCTCTTGGGATGCAAATATCTCTGCCAAACGTGTCCATTCCATTGGGAGATCGTGTCCCTCGCAAATTTCATCCTAATTAAATTTGTCATCGATTTACACTAATTTGCTCAAAATAGGATCGCATGCGTTGGGAGACCTCCATTGTAATTTTGTTCTTTATTTTTTGTCTACAAGGCCCGCAAGTGAGCGTGATTCTCATCACCTGAAGTGGTGTAGGGATGGAGAGATTCAAGTGAGGAGAAAGTTGGTCATGGACGCGCAGCAACTAATTTTCCAAATCTACAACTATCCAAACGGACAGGTCAACATTGAGGAACGAATTTATGAGAGGGATGAATACTGCGTGGATTCGTAAGAGATTTAAACCATGGGAAAATGGACATGCCGAAAATTAAGCCATTTTTATGTAGAATTGCATTTGTCGGTAGAAAACTTTATGCATTTCGGGAAGAAAACTTTCTAAAATTTTCTGTATTTTTCGGACGAAGACTTTCAGGATTTTCACGTAGAAATTTTTTTTGCATTTTCATATAGACAATTTTCTGGATTTTCCGATAGGAAATTTTCTGGATTTTTCGGAAGAAAACTTTCTGCATTTTCCGATAGAAAATTTTCTACATGAATAAAATCCTGTCAGTTCTTTGTGCAGAAAGATTGTCTGATTTTCTGCACGTCGATTTTCATCCTGGAATTTATGCCCTTGATTAAATCCAACTTTATGCATGCTTTCTCTTCTACTTTTTTTAGCATTAAAAGCGTCCGTACCGGTATTTCCTATCAATTTCTACTCGATGTTTTCCACTGCAAATTGAACTGTTCAGAAGATAAGCCTTGTATCAAGAAATGCTGCGATTTTGACGAATCCTTGAATTCCAACTTTACCTGCGAATCAGACAAGAGCCAGAAATCGACGACGAGTCTCCTCCTACGACTCGGACGAGGAAGCGATAACCTTAACGAATTGTTAAGCGACAACCATCCCAGACTTATCGTCAACAGTATCAATTTTCTGTCCACTTGTGAACCAATCGATTTAAAACTTACGAGTGAAATTAAACTGCTGCGCAATGGAAACGTCCAAGTTCGCTATGATGCCTCCTCCCTCGTGGAGCTGGGGGATTATTGTGTCGACATTTATAAGGACAAACCTATCGCGTCGTATTGTGCGAAAGATTTGCTGCCATTTATTGTATGTAATAATTTTGTTAATGAGAATTGTGGTCATCAGAGTTGATGACCATAATTTTTCAAGGAGGGGGGAGGCTAAAATACTTTGTGAAGAGTATTTTGAGCTCCGTTTTTCCCAGGGTTTGGATTTCCGGGGGTGTTACACCCACAAAAAGATGAGAATCTACTTGGAGAATGCAACAGTAATAAGAAAATACAGGTTTTGTGAAGAAATTAACTTTTTATTGAGGTCAAAATACGTTCCGCAAAACCTGTATTTTCGCACGACTGTTGCCTTTTCCACGTAGATTTTCGTCTTTTTGTGGGTGTAACACCGCTAGCCTACTGGTAATATTTACTGTTTACTGACGCTTATTAACCTTTGGAAGACTTACATGTAGGCGTTGTAGGAAATTAACTATTTATCGGTGTCAAAATTATTCAAAATACTTCAGTTTTTCTAAATCATGAAAACAAAGTGTTTTGACAGCGATACAAAGTTAATTTCTTCAGAAAACCTGTATTTTCGTGCGACTGTTGCCTTCTTCACGTTGAAATCAACGGTTGATTCTCGTCTTTTTGTGGGTGTAACCGCCCTGGAAATCCAAACCCTGGGAAGAACGGAGCTCAAAATACTGTATTCTTGACCATTTAAAGACGCTTATCATAATTTTGAATCGTTACAGGGTGGCTATGTAAAATATCAACTTGCATACTGTACAATTTCCACATTTTTCATACTACTCACCCTCATCATTTATTTACTCGTATGGAAAAAACATGGAATAAATGGATACATGCAATTTGCCTTTATCTTATCGGCATTCTTCTATTTTGCGATGCGCCTGGCTCGACGGAGTTACGAATTGGCGACGAATCTGCACCCGAGAAGTATTATTCCTGGTGTGTAAAACTCATTAATTTGCGAATATTTTTGCATATTTAGAAATAAATATGAAATGAAACTGATTTGCAGATCGGCTCGACACATTCTTCACGATTGGAATGTTCGCTAATTTAGTGAATCTGAGTTTTCATATGTTTTATACATTTTGGTAATTACAATATTGCGAAAATTTTTGCGAAGGTAACTTATTTGTTAAATATTTAGGAATATAACTCCGGAAACCGGGATCAGAACGAGTGGACAATTGAGACGACTTTTTTTCACGGTATCGACCTGCTGGATTGTCGCAGGGGTTACTGTTCTTTCAGAATTGTTCATGTAAAAAAAATTAGGATTTTATTAAAAATTTCAAAATTTGATGTCACAAGAAATCGTTTTTTTAGCAAGGATTACAAAATAGTTCACGCCGTGCAAAAATATGTCGTCCTTGGCCTGCTGTCTCTGAACATGGTTGTCGCGCTGGCCACCATCGTGGTCATTTTGAAGCAGTTGAACCACCGAAAACAGTTGAGGTCGTCGTCCTCAGGGTCTCCGGTCGATTTCAAATTGATGTAACTTTTCCTGTAGTTCGCCATTTAATTAATTAATTAGTCATATTTTGTAATTATTTCTGAAAAATCGTAGAAATATTTATGACAAAAACGTAACATGAATTCTCATCCAAACTATTTTTTATTCAATTTTCAGAATTTTGAGCATTAATAATACTCAATTTTTTAATTTTAAATAGTGTAAGTTTGTAAAAAAAGACGGACTCTGGATACAATCTATATAGTTTTTTTTAAACATTACAATTTTTTCGAATTTTTCAAAAAAAAAAATAAAACGCCCAAAAATATAGAGAATGAAATGATGACACCAACTTCCACCACTGCTGCCAATCTCTCCACCCATGATGACCAACATTGCCCGATATCCACATGCCCAGGAGCTAGCAACACAGACCAATGGATACTATGCGACCACTGCCAGAAATGGTATCACACAGCATGTGTCGCCGTGGTCATCATACCGGAGGAGGAATGACTTTGTCCAACTTGCGTCATATCCGTCACATCTTCACAATCTCAAGTCACTCCATCATCCCTCAACACAACGACTACCACCAAGAAAAAGCACATAATCGCCACAACACAATATTGGCTGAAATCCAACCTCGTTGAAGATCCTCTCGGCCTAATTCCAAAATCCGAAATAGTCGCACGTTACGCCCATCATATTCAAACATCGGGAGAAGGAAGAGTTGTCGATGCCACCGTGGGAAAGTATATTCTTCAACTCTTCCCCAGCACAAAATTTTCTCGTCCCCCGACTCGAGGCGCAGCCAACGCATACATTGGAATCAGATGGAAGGATCAACCACCACTACTCCCACATGCTCCAAGAAATTGGGGTGCTGAGTTATCGCAACTGAAGAATACAGTACCCACGCTGAGAAGAGTCCCAAAAGGTGCAAGGATGGAAGTAGCTAAAGCCCTTGCAAAAATAATAGAGGAAGTGACCACCACAAACTCGGAGGAATCATGGTTCAAACTTTTCTCGTTTCCATACGCAGTCGTCCCTGTTCCCACCAAATCTGACAAAGTTAAAAATTTAACAACATGGGTGAAATCAAGAGTTCTGCAGTGGTCAATAACCCAAATTGTAACACCCTCGAGACCACGACCACAATTCGCCAAACCCTCACGTCCTCAAGAAACTATTGCAAAGAAGGTGGAAGCAAAATTGGCAGACGGCGATGTACGGGGTGCAATTCGTTTATTGACCTCTGATGACACAATTGCCCCAAATAATCAAGAAACCTTGGATGCCCTCATCACTAAGCATCCCCCACATCCAGAGCCAACTTATTTCCCGAACGCACCGGACAAGGCAGAAGTTTTGGCCCCTGTTGATCCCAAAGAAGTCCTCATCGCAATCTCTAGTTTCGCTCCAGGATCGGCAGGAGGACTTGACTCTCTTCGCCCTCAGATTTTGAAGGACCTCGTCATCTCAGAGAATGGAGAACCTGCGACCAATTTACTAAACGCGATGCTAAAATTTTTAGATCTTGTTCTCAGGGGAGACGTGCCAAAATCTATTTGCCCAATCTTCTTCGGGGCTTCCATGACCGCACTTAGAAAGAAAACTGGGGGCATTCGTCCTGTCGCTGTCGGCAATACATGGCGTCGTCTCATCTCGAAAATTGCCGTCGCCCGTATGTCATCTACTCTGGTCGAGATTTTCTCCCCTCATCAACTAGGAGTGGGGATTAAAGGAGGCGCTGAAGCTGCAGCCCACGCAGCACGTATTTACTGGAATTACTCACATGATAGCCCCAAGGCTTTTTTAAAATTGGACTTCCGTAATGCTTTCAATGAAATCCGACGAGACACACTTCTCCAAATCATTCGAGAAAAATTCCCAAATTTCTACCGTTTCGTGAGCCAGGCCTACTCCTCCCCCTCGGAAATTTTCTTCGCGGGAACACCCATCTCCTCCCTTTGTGGGGTTCAACAAGGTGATCCACTCGGACCAGCTCTCTACGCTCTCGTGATTCAACCAATTGTGGACTTGATTGACACAGAGCTGAATATGTGGTACTTAGATGACTCAACCATTGCTGATTCGCCGGAGAAAGTCTTAATGGCAATGCAAACCATCACACGTATGGGGACAGAAGTCGGTCTGCACCTTAACACTACAAAATGTGAAGTGGGAATTCTGGGTGCAGTCGACGACCAAACTCGTGACGAAATTTTTGAGCTATTTCGTTCAACAGCTCCGGGGATACAAAAGATCTCTCCTGAAAGTGCTATGCTGTTAGGTGTCCCACTCACCGATGAAGCCATTCCTACAATACTAGGAGCCAAAACCGAGGAAATGGAAAAAATTAGCACGCGGCTACTCAAACTCTCCTCCCACTCAGCCTTTTTCCTTCTCCGTGCCTCCATCTCAACACCTCGTCTAATATACTTTCTCCGCTGTGCACCGACATGGAGAAGATTTGACGCCCTTACTCTTTATGATGCCAAATTAAAAAATGCTATGGAGGGAATCATCAACTGTTCCCTTTCCCCTCAATCCTGGTTACAGTCCTCTCTACCCGTCAACAAAGGTGGTCTTGGGGTCAGACACGCTATAGATGTGGCGATTCCGTGCTTTCTAGCGTCTATCTATAGCTCCCTGCCTCTTGCGGAACGCCTACTTCCACCACATTTACATGGCATCGATACCGCCATCCAAGAAGGAGAGGAACGCTGGAAATCACTTGGTTCATCGCCACTTCCTCCACTCGAGATACGAGGTATCCAGGCAATATGGGAAATACCACAACAGGAAGGTGTAATCAATCACCTCACAACTAATGCGACTACATTAGAAGACAAAGCCCGCTATCACGCCATGTCACAACCCAATGTTGGAGCGTGGCTCAACGCTATCCCCTCTCCTCAACTCGGCACACATCTTCCTAATGAGACGTTTCGCATCGCCGCCGCTCTTCGACTAGGCTGTGACATCTGCCAGCCCCACAAATGTTCTTGTGGTGAACAAGTGTCCACGAAAGGCTATCATGGTCTCAGTTGCAAAAATAGTGCTGGACGTCACTCCCGTCATGCCGCAGCCAACGATGTCATCGCCAGAGCCCTCAGATCTGCAGGAGTCCCTATAATTAAAGAACCAGCCGGGTGTGCCCGTGAAGATGGGAAACGTCCAGATGGTCTCACACTTATTCCATGGGCAAGAGGAAAATCGGTAGTGTGGGACTTCACGTGTTCCGATACATTTGCACCATCGTACGTCCCACAAACTAGTATTCGCCCAGGAGTAGCAGCTGAGAAAGCAGAGGACCGGAAGAAGAAAAGATATGAACAACTTATGGACAGTTTCCTTTTTGTCCCAATAGCCATCGAAACAACAGGGATTTGGGGTAAAGATGGCTTGTCATTTATTAAAGAAATCGGGTCCAGAATCACAAACATCACAGAAGAGAAGAGGGCGACATCCTTTTTATTGCAGAGAATGAGTATCACTGTTCAAAGAGGAAATGTAGCATCCATTTTAGGATCCCTTCCAAAAGGACACAAACTGGAGGAGATATTTATGTTATAAAGAATTTCGTTTATATATCTATTGTAGTTATGCTAATATTATGGATTACAATTATGTATTATGATAAAGTTACAAATCATTAATTTTCGAATACGGGCTGCAAAACTTACAAAAATTACAACTTGTGCGTTGAAAAATATTTTTAGTAATTTTTGGTAAATTTTGGCAATTTGGTAATTTTTGGTACAAATTTAGGGAACATACATATGCCCACAGGTTTTGACTATCGAAAATAGTAAATGTTTAAATGGTAACATTTTAATTGTATTTTTTTTAATTGAAATTTTTGGTAATTTTTTATTTTAGGGTGAAACTCTGCATAAAACTGTTCTGTTTCACGGGTATGATTTGGGGGCTGAAATTGTTCGAACAACTCTTGCGAAATGCGTCCTTCGACCGAGGCTGGTTTTGGGATATGGTCCAATTTCTCACTTATATGTACGGGATCGTCCTCTTTTTCGTCTTTGTCGTGACGAATGACAAAATCACGAAGGCGTTGACGGAACGGTTTCCTGCCATCCAGTCATGTACGTAATAAATACATTTTTAATGTATTTACTAGTTATGGGTAATATTATTTGGAAATTTTGATTGATTTTGAATAGTGAAAAAAAGTACGAAATCTCGGACACCAAAAGAACCTTCAACGACGCATACACAGGTTCATGATGACAAAAAAAGTAGGGTGCATCTCCTTCAAAAATAATCCGAAAATAAGTTTCCGGTTTTACCTTTTTGAAATTGTGTGTAAAAGTTGCTTTAATGTAATAATAATAAAGAAATATCTAAAAAAAAACACTGATTACGAGACTGAATTTTTCTATCGCAAAAATGAAATAAATTGCCACTGAAATCAAGTTTAGCCACATTCTCATATTTTGAGAAAAATGAAAGTGTAATTTCTACTACACAGTCCAACCATAAGTTCTCGTGAATGCATTTCCGGTGATAGATTGCAAAGTACTAAAGCTATCTGATAGAAATTTTTGTGGATGAACAAGGTATTAATATTGTTTATAAATCATAACTTCTTTTTCACAATTTCCTCCTCGGGCTTGTACACAACGCATAAGTCGTGGCGGAAACTGCTCGATCGCGGCACGCGCGGATTTCGTGTAAAAAGCGCCCAGATCTTAAGTAAGTGTGACCTCAGGCCTTGCACACTTGGGTGAGATTTAGAGCATATCTATATCTATTATTTTGATCACCAGTCATAATTTAGCGCATGAAGATCTGCAGATGCTGAGCACCGTTCTACGGATAAAAAAAGTCATGAAAATTCGTCTGAAGCAAGTTTTGGACAATTTTGGACCTTGCGCAGGAACTTAGTCTTATTGAAAGGTCCAATGTTGATTTTCGGAGGGTCCAGGGTACAGATTATTAACGTTTGGCTCTAGGACACTCTGAAAATAATTCTTGGCTCCAACTTTTACACTTTGCGGTAAAAAACAGAGATTTCCTTTCTCCAGGCAACTTGCTCCCATTCACACCATGGTGATGACTTCGTATTGACTTCCGCATACTTAAGGTACCACAAGAGAGTTGGCAAGGAATTATACCACTCACTTTGATTGTAATTTTCTCAGAAATTATAGTAGGTAGAAATTTGGTTCAAATACAAATTTTGTAAAAAATATACTACTCTAAATTTTGCTAAATGTCCCCTTTTGCTGTTACGTATACTTACGTATTTATAGCCAAAATAGTTGAACATGATGATTTTTTAAAACGTCCTAGCGTCCAAACCATACGGAGCACAAATGTGGAACGACTCCCACATCGTGCGAAATAGTTTTACTTGGGGAGCATAATGGGTCTCATTTCCATATTGTCTTCCATACTTTTCGAAATAGCATTTCTATGCTTGCCCCTCCCTATTATTTTATGTTTCTGAGGTCAAAAATGGTTTACATCTCATTACCTCACACAAATGAGCCCACAAACCGATTATACACCCTGCGGAAATATATAGTGACTCCAAATAACAACCATTATGACCTCAAAGTCCTCCCCCTCCATCTCGGGGAGCTCTTAAAAATACCCCAATGCCCTTGTTTCTATGCGGAGCTGTACTTCATGTCTTGACTCATGTTCTCTAAAAAATCATGGTGCTAAGTCCATAAAAAACTGAAATATTCAACCTCTTGTGGTACCTTAAACGGATGTCAGACTTCCGTAGAACAAATATCTGGCCATTTCTTCTATTAAATTTTTCGCCAACGCTGAAAAGTCTGAAATACTTTTGGCACGAAAATTGGCGCGTACCACGATCGAGCAGTGGCCGTCACGAGTTATGTCTTATCTAAAAGCCCTTGGACGAAATCTTGAAAAAGAAGTTATGATTTCTAAACAATATTAATACCTTGTTAATCCATAAAAATTTCGAACCGATAGCTTTAATACTTTGATATTTATCACCGGAAATGCATTCACGGGAACTTATGACCCCACTATGTATGTATCATTAATTCCTCATATTTTTACAAATTGTAAAATTTGAACGCCAAAACCCAAGTTGAAGTTGTACAGGTGTTATTTAATTCTTGAATGGTGATGGCCCTGACGTCACATTTTGGTTTGGACCATTTTCATCTTTTCATCTCATTCCAGCACAGTTTTTTCGCAAATCATTTCCTAAAAATTTCTGCTCCTTCTTCATTTCAAATTTAATTTCTTGAAGTCGAATTATGATGTCAAAGGCCGCTCAATCCGTCCCTGGACCTTCTCACGTCGCCGGAAATACCAGCCATCGGGTCATCGCTGCCACCGACCCGACGACCTCGGCGATAAGCACCGAAGTCATTTCGCCTGAATTGCAGGAGGAGGAAGAGTTCGAATTGTGTTTGAGCAGTGACGACGAGGATGAGGTTGACGTCCAGGAGAAGAAAATGGTGAGGAATTATGTGACCTAGACCGTGTATTGATTTGGTGATAACTTCTTATCGCATAGGTAGTAGTTTATTCGAAACAAATTGTTTCTCAATGAGAAATTCTCATTACTAGACCGTAATATTACGGTCTAGTAGTACTAGACTAGTACTGATATTTATAATAACTGATAAATATCAGTTATTATATTACCGTGCCGGTAGAGTCGTGTACCCCAGTCGGTAATAGTAATAATTTAATACCAGGTTTCTAACAGTATAAATAAAATACTTCACATGAGTGTAACAATTTTGTTGTTATCATTTTTCCAGAAAATGGCTGCCACACTGGAGAAAGTTAGACACTGGGTCCAAATAAGGAGAAAATCCTTCGCCCCAAACATCACGGCACCGGTGAGAATATTTATACTGTTCCGTCCAATTTACATATTCTGAATTTTTTAAGTTTGTCTCATTTTTGGCTGGTTATCATTTTGTGCAGATTTCGGAAGAGTCGTTTCGAATTGGCTGCTACTTGAGGACCCTTGATAACGCGTTGGACGACATTATCTACGTTCTGGACGATAAGATACGTCGAGGATTTCCCATCGAGAAGAGGGGGCGCAAGGGAGTAAACTAGGAAAAGCAGCAGCAGCAGCAACAATGCCAGAAATAATAATGCTTGACTTCGTTCTAGACGAAGAAAGGTCGACAATTTCGGGACCACCCCAAGCCACATCAACAACGTTAACTCCTCAACCACTGCCCGGCACTCAGCCAGCAACAACAATGTCGGGAATAATGCTTGACTTCGTTCCAGTCGAGGAAAGGTCGGCAGTTCCGCCAGCCACGCCAAGACCATCACCTCGAACCTTGTCCGTTACTCCGCCAGCAACAACAATGTCAGAAATAATGCTTGACTTCGTTCTGGACGAGGAAAGGTCGACACTTCCGGAACCTCCAGCCACACCAAGACCATCAACTCCACCACCACTGTCCGTCAATCCGCCAGCAACAGCATGGCCAGAAATAATACTAGACGAAGACGAAGAAGGGTCGACAATTCCAGCCACGCCAAGACCGCTGAGTCCACCACCACCACTGCCTGGCACTCCGCAAAGGTCAACCTCGAACAAATTTGCAACCCAGAGAAAGTTAAGGTCTGCTGGGAGACGAATTCGAAAATCAAACGCCTCCACCTCAGGCAGAAAGGTGGTAATCTTTTCCTACAAATTTAATTCTAATAAGTAGTATTTACTCTTGCGTAATAACCAGATTACTTGTGGCTAATTAGTCAAGAGTAACTAACAATAGAACCTTTTTCAAGTTACACCGTCTAACGACTAACGAGCTATGTATATCAAATAATCAAGCCAAAAATAAGGAATCATATGACACTTATCTTTCCGTTGAATGGCCCTTTTGAAGAAAGATATTTTTGGTCAGAGCTCAAATTTCCGGAAATTTTCACCCGCTTTTTCCTCCAGTTGGCGAAAACCAGGGCGGAGTATGAACTTTGACCCCCAATATTTTTCTTCAAAAGGGGCATTTAACGGAAAGATAAGTGTCATAATTTCTAATTTTTAGATAACTCGCTTGACAATCCCGGTGTAGCTTGGAAAAAGGTTTACATTACGCTCCCATTCTATTTGTCTGTAAAACGCGACTTTTTCCTAATTATTAACTAATTATATCTTTCAATACCCTTTGTCTAGAGTTCTAAAAAAACCAAATCCCACCGCTGCCACATTTGTCGCAAAACGTTATCCAGAACAGGCCTGATCTATCACGGTTTCACCCATCTCACGGAAGAGGAAAAGACCCTGGTGAGGCAGAATTGGAAACACGTGTGCTTCTTTTGCCAGGAGAGGTTCCCCTCGAAATTTGCTTATCATACTCATCTGGTCACCCACACGAAGGAAAAGCCCTTTCGTTGTGACCAGTGTGGAAAGCAGTACGGTCGGAATGGTGCTTTAACAGTGCACAAGCGCAGCCACAGCGCCAACCCGAGACCTTTCAAGTGCGAAGAATGTGACAAAGCTGTTACCACCAAGCGAGCTCTAAAAATCCATAAAAAAATTGTTCATCAGAAGCTGAAGGACGTCGACTGTCCCCGGTGCCCCCAGAAGTTCTGCACCAAGGCGAACATGAAGACGCATCTCAACAGGTGTCATCTCAAAATTCGTCACCCCTGCCCCCACTGCAATAAGTCGTTTCCACAGAAATGGAGGCTTGGAACACACGTGAAGGAGTTTCATCCCTCATAATAATCCAATCTTTCTCCTTCCAAATACAGATAATTTATTGGTTTTACGATGTAATACTTCTCACACAGGTCGTGGAGAAATTTAATAAAATAAAATTTGTAATCATATCAGTACATAACAGGGTTGTTATAATAATGGATAATTTTAATTATTATTTATGTAATAAAGATCTTCCTCGCAGGGGCTTTCATTTTCATAAAACCGTAATTGTTGACTCGATCGTATTTCCGTACTGCGTTACATTCTTGAGTTTTCTGTCGCAAAAATGACATAAATTCCTGCTTGTTTTAGTCAAATTATTATTTTTTGGGAAAAATTAGACCAAAATAAAATTATTACGAGACTGAATTTTGCTGAAATTTCGGAAAAATGTTGGCGAGTCGAGTTGCAAGTTTACTCCAATTCTCATTTTTTTTGGGAAAGTTGAGACCAAATAAAAGTGAGACAAAAAATGAGACTGGGTCAGGTTGAGATTTTCGATGAATGCCCCAAATCAACATGCGGCACCGGTTTACACGATCGACTCGTGTTTTTCAGTTTTTTTGTCCAGAAATTGTAAAAAAATAAATAAATAGCTGTCCATTTTCTACCATATTATCAAAACGAGGATGAATAATTCTCTGAAAATCGTCACCGCTTGTGTCACCACCTCGTCGCAGCTGAATTTTCTTAAATTTGGACTTGGTACATATCTTTATTTCTTTTTCCTTTAATTTTCCTTTAATTTTAAGTTTGATAAAACAGCTAATTAATAATTATTTCCATATATTTTTGTAGGACATGGTCAAATATGTCGAATTCATAACTGGGTGCGGCCGGTGCGCTATGTCCTAAGACGAAGGCGGAAGGTGGAGTACGAGAAATTTCCTGAGCGAGCGAAACCAATTAGACGAAGTGCATTTAACGATTGGTAAGTATTTTTAAATAATCATTAATTCAAAGCACTTTAACTTATCTGAATTGTTAAATGACAGGAATTATAGGGCAGAACTTTACGCTTTTGGGAAACGTCTCGGTGAAGAGTTTGACGAACCTTTGTTGAACCAGGCACTCATCGATAAGTCGTACATCCATTTTGAAAAGCGACGTCTCGAAGAACTTGGCCTGGATCCGAATTCAATCCAGCTTCAGGACAATGGGGAACTAGCGGAGAGAGGGAAAAGTCTTTTGGAACAGGTTTTGAACGCGTTTATGGTCAAAGAATTCCCCAAATTGCCAAAGGAAGGAGTGGAGTGAGTTGAATGAAATTAGTTATTTGGATAATTAAGTTAATTAATTAATTGGAGTGCTATATTTAAATTTAGGGCGGTAGTTCAGAGTCTAACTAGTGATCCAATTTTAAAACAAGTATCGTTGCTTATCGGAACGAAAGATATTATTCAGTGTCAGGTAAGATTTTACCATATTAAATTAAATTAAATGACTCATCAACTTTAATGTAGGGCTCAGTGACTCATCGTCAAAATGAGCACATTATTAATCATTTCTCAGCTCTGGGAACTTATTTAAAAATTCTGGACGACAAATTTGTAGAGCAGATCGTTGCCAATTTTTAAAAAGGTACACTCCAGATTTTGACCTTTTTTGAAGGATGAGATCTCAAGTTTAAGAAGCCCTCAGAAACATTGGAACTGGCTTAAAAAACTCATCGCTATTCCATTTTAATCAACTCACTGACTACAAATTAGTCGTTCAGTATTTTAAAATAAATTCCCAGAGACGAGAAATGATTAAAAATGTGCTGATTTTTGACGATTTTGATGATGAGTCCTACATTAATTGTCAGTTAAACTTGACCTTTATTTAATTATTAATCCAATTTCTACATATTTTGTAGGACTATCCACCTTCCGATCAAGTCTACTCTACCGCTTTTCAAGCCATTGTCGGTGCTCTAGAACAATCTTCGGGATTAGAACGCGTCGAAAAATTCATTCTGGACGTTGTTGCATCTCACCTCTGTGGCAAAGACATCCACGACTTTTGGGATATTCCTAAACCATGGCACATGCTTCTCGACCTTACACGACCTCAAGGAAAAACATTGGAGCCCAGACTGCTTCGAGAGGCTGGAAAAAATACACTTTTGTCCGTCTACGTGGTGGGAATTTATGACGAAAATAAAGTTTTGATGGGAACAGGTGAGTATTCTAGCTGCAAAAAAAGTTGGCTAAATAAAATGCATACAAATTGTATCGATTTTTGCGTAGGTGTCGGCGAAACTATTGACATTGCTCAAGAAATGGGGGCGAGAGATGTTCTCAGAGGAATGTTCGGTACCAAAACCCCTCTTGCACCGTTCCACTTTCAAACGGATAATTTCCCCATGCAATTAATTCCTCATGTCAGATAAGATATGATAGAAAGTCAATAAGTTTATATTATTTGGTAGTAATATTAGGATCAGTGGCGGCAGAAGTAGGGGGACAGGGGGACATTGTCCTCCCAAAAATTCAGAATAATCGTACCTTAGTCATGTTAATAAGTCCTTCCTACAATGTAAATGTCCCCTTATGTCCTCCCATTTCCGCCGCCACTGATTAGTATTCATAGTTTTTATAACGTATTGTACGTGAAGGACAATTATATCGCAGCATAATAAATAAATTGCTATGCTATACATGCAAAATGTGAAAGTTTTTCCATTTCGCGAAAGTATTTGAACCTTTGAAGTTAGCTTTTTCATTGAAAACAAGGAAGAAAAGAAAGTCATGAATCGATAAAATACTTTGGTTCGATTTATGTATCTTGCACAATTCTATTCTGGTTATAATAAGTGTTCTTCTATTCAATTCTTTATTACTGACCCCTGCCAGGTTGTGCGGCATTGAACCAACACCTCGTCCAGTCTGACTGACTAGTAATAGCGAATTGATGTCCAGCTATCCATGCTTCATTCAAAGGATTTCAGCTCAACTATACGATAGAAATAGCCGAGAGGAACATGGTACACGAATAACAGCGATTGATGGTTTCTATATAAAAGCGTTGCTGCTAATTCAATTCAGTTCTTATCCATTTGCCAAATTAAGTAGTTGGCTGAGCATAAAAATAGAGTAATAAAATTCCAAGAGCTTCGGCAGAACTATTCTGAGACGATACAATCAGGATTCTTCTTAACGTAGGACTCGATGACTTATATAGCCAAAATTGTCAAAAATCAACGCATTTCTCGCCTCTGGGAATTTATCTTAAAATTCTGAACGACAAATTTGTAGTGTAGTCAGTAAGTTAATTAATGAAATGGCGTTGAGTTTTTTAAGCCAGTTTCGATGAGTTCCAATTTTTCTGTAGGCTTCTTAAACGTGAGATCTCCTCCTTCATAAAGGGTCAAAATCTGGAGTGGATATATTAAAAAAATTGGCAACTCTCTGCTCTAGAAATTTGTCGTTCCGAATTTTAAAATAAATTCCCAGAGGAGAGAAATGATTAAAAAATGTGCTGATTTTGCCGATTTTGGCGATGAGTTATCGATTCATACGTTAATGAATTTGCCTACCAGAAGACAATTCTTAAAAACCTTGACATTTCCCAAATCCTAATTTGCTACTCTCATTAATTAATTAAATTGGATCTAGCAATTATGGAAAATTAGGTTCTGCGTAGTTATGTATGTTCAGTTCGGTCGGTGAAAGCTGAACCCATGGATTTGCGGAAATCTGCCGCCCCTCAAGTGCAGCCCGATGGATTTGCAGCCCATTTTGTGCCCCCTTGATTATCTGCAGCCCACCAATTTGCAGCCTATTAACTCCAGCCCGCGATTATTTGCAGCCCTTATTATTTGCAGCCCACCTCACAAAACGCATAATGCCACTACACAAGATGGAAAATATATGTACATCATATACAAAGGTCCATTCTCCCCGTTTTGGGTCATAGTGTATTTATTAGTGTCATTATTTACATACAGGGAGAAATATAAAATCAAGGTATTAAAACGTTCTCAAAACATCAGGCAATATAAAAATCTTTGAATAAAAAATCGTATAACATCAATCAATAAAAACATCTTTGAATAAGAAATCAATCAATAAAAAATCGCAAAACATCTTTGAATAAAAAATCAATCAGTAAAAAATAGCAAAACATCAATTTAAAAAAATAGCAAACATATATCAATTTTAATGGAATCGGACACGATAAGAAATTTGGCGAAGGTAGTCTATATGACAAAAATCACCAACCCCGTACTGTTCAACAACTTTTCTGAGTTTTGTTGAAGCTATTGCAAACTTTTTTCGTGGAGTGGGGACAGTACCAGCTACCCGTTGATGTATGGTTAACTCTGTCAAAACCTGTTGTTCTTTTAGTCCGTCGATAAGTTTATAAATAGTTGGGTGGGAAGCGCCGAGCAAAGAAGAAAATCCAGAGTTAAATCCCTCACACGCATTGTTCGTTTTGGGTAAATCCTCCAACACACTATGGAAGCAGTTCCACAGGGGGATGGCATACAAAGGAGCAACTCGGGCTGTTCTAAGAGGATTCCAAGGCCCCAACCAAGTCCGTTCAAAGTACCAGATGAAATCCACAAGTAAGACCGCGTTGTCGACAAAGAATTCCTCGCGAATTAACAATTCGTATGTAGATAATACGTCGTCTGGTGGGACAAAGGCCAAAGCTACAAGATTCCAGATATTGAGGGAAAAATTGGAGTCGGTAGTAAAACGATTCAAAATTTCTGGGAACTTCTGGATATGCCTATAAAAGCACTGTGAGAAGTGAAAAAAACACCCCTTCTGTTCGGCACGTGGAAAAGCTTCATTAAAGGCACTGAGTTCAGCCCGCTCGAAGTCGGTCATTATGGTCGTAGGTGCCAATCCAGCCTGGGAATCCAAAAGAGCGCTGAGAACGCGACTGTACGTCTCGGTTTTTCTGTTTGGGAGGAGAGCATATACAAGAGGGCATGTCACCCCTCCACGAATTCCGTGCAGCACAAACAGTTGATCGAAGAGGGAAGGCGCCACCTTGAAGGTACCATCCGCCAACCACACGGGACAGGATGCGAGGAAGTCCAGGTTTTCACGGGTCGCAAATACAAGAATCCTGGATGCTTCAGGACCAGAATCAAACAAAAGGAAGTCTGCACCTCCTTTTGATTTTTGAAATGAGGCTGGAAGAACAATATCCTCTCGCCTATGAGGTTGTACAAGAGATCCTACTCCAGAAGCACGTACATCCCTGATTGTTCTTTTCAGATTTTGTTTGAGAGGGAGGACTCCTTGCGCTGCGGCTGAGACATGCCCCACGTTTCGGGATATTATGGAGGCTGGTTGGTCGTTGGTGGATTTGGCGTCCTGACGTATCTTTGTGCGAACTTGACGAAGCTCGACATTGATGGGATTTTCGGGATGATTATGACTTCCCAACTCGGATATGATGGTCACATTCTCCAAGCCGATCGAGGTGTGCATCCTGGCGGGACATTTGGCATGACGATAGCGGTCACATACCCAAATGCGCTTTTCATCGCCAAACTTGTGGAAGACGAAGGAGTACCCGTTCAATGATGCAACAGGTTTACCTCTTATGGATTCGGAAATTGTAATGGTGGCCATAGCTGGTAATAATAAAAGTTGAAACCAATTTTTATTAGTGAAAAAATTTCAGTCATTTTAAAAAATAGAAAATTTGGCCAAAAAAAGGAGGGGGGGCCTTACGGCCCCCCCTTCCCCCCTCCCCCCCCTTTCCCCTCACCTCCCCCAATTCCTGCCCCCCCAAAATAACCTCTAGTACAACTTGGGATGGGCTTTACTACTAGTCATATAATGGTTGACAATATGTGTGAATTGACTTCGTATTATTAGTTTGTATTGTATTTGGAACTAACATGCAAAATTTCAAAAAGTACCTTACCTATTTGGGAACCAAGAAACTAACGCTTTTTTATTATTCAAACAAAATAAATTACACATACACAAAAACAAATTAGTTGGGCAGAATTTCGGGAACTTATTTTTTTTAAATTTCACTGACACTGTTGGTATTCTCTCCAGTCGATCTACTTCCTTTAACTGACAAAAAAGACTAGTTGACTGCATCAAGTCACACAAAGGTGGAAAGAAAAAAAAGGTTGGAAAGAACCTTTTTTATGTTTTTTATCTATTTCTGGGAAATAGATAAATATAATTCAATCTAACAAATGAACCTTTGTATATGATGTACATATATTTTCCATCTTGTGTGGTGGCATTATGCGTTTTGTGAGGTGGGCTGCAAATAATAAGGGCTGCAAATAATCGCGGGCTGGAGTTAATAGGCTGCAAATTGGTGGGCTGCAGATAATCAAGGGGGCACAAAATGGGCTGCAAATCCATCGGGCTGCACTTGAGGGGCGGCAGATTTCCGTACACCAACCCATGCCACGACACGTATTACGCTAAAAGGATAGTTTCTCGTACCATGTAATCATGTACGTAGTTAATGCGGGTGAAAGTCTTGTACAAGTTAAAATATTGTGTTTTCATTTCACTCTACGCAGCTATTAGTGTACATATCAGGCTGAAAGAGTGAAAGCAAATCAAGCCCAGCCACATGCTGCTTTCTCATGCTTTTCCCATCAATCTGATTCTCTTCTCTCCCGATGTGATGAGATGATGAGTCGCGTTGTTCCATGTATAATGATAAAATTGCAAATTCGCTAAATTGGGCTTTCATTTTGACATTGCATGCATACAGAATTTTCAGGAACATTTCTCATTCTTTGCAAATTTGAATTTTGCAGATATTTTGCACAAGTTGTACATTACCTTATTTACTAGTTTGCATGCATAACCACAACCATCAACACTGGAAATTTATGACGAGATCGGTACAGCACAATAATGCGCGTATGTACATAGAATATATTTCCGCCAGTCGAAACCATTGTATTTCGGTCGACAACAACAGGAAGTCGTAATATGTCAATTTTGACAAAGAAACCGGTGTGCGCCGTGATGATGAAAGTGCGTACACACCTTTGAACCAATAAGGAAGAGGAATCAGTGACACAAAGAGTGAGTAATGATTGATGATAAGGAAGGACAGGCCAGACCCCACCCAATCCGAATAAAGAGTGGCTTGGTTGCGTATGATTTGAGATCAATGCTCCTTCCTTTCTCGATCGGTCTTTACTTTTGTGGGTGGTGCCGACTTATTAGATTTCATTTCCGACTTGTTTTATGATTTTGCTACTTCCTTCCTGGCTCTACTAATCAAGTTCTCGGTTTTTGTGGTGGGTGGGTGCGTGTGATTTCTCATCGCTTATCAAAAGAATTTGAAATAATGGTGTGTTCTCAATCAAAATATCGAATTATCGAATCTCAATTTTTCTTCGGCGTAACTACCCTACTTTTCACTTGACGTTTCTATTCAGCACTAATTCCGTCCGTTGAGAGTGAGCCTGCCTTTCATGGATAATTTCATCGTCCTGCCTTTATTTCTGGGAGCGACGAGGTGAAAGGAATCTGTTACGGGGAGGCAGTGTTTCAGGTGAAAGTAACCATTTGCAAGAAATAACGGGGAGAAAGTGGTTTCTTTCAGGTAAATATTTTGACCTGTGAGAAATGCAAGGCACAAGAAACTGCGCCCCGTCGCTGTAAATACTTCATACGGCGCGTGGATAGATAGCGCATATTTCATGCACTTTCTCCCAGTTTCTTGCACCTCGCATTTCTTGCGCTGTTAGCTTTGCAGTGTAAGAAATGCAGCGAATTCGCAAAGAAACGAAACACTACGGACAGGGCAACAGTTTATTATTGGCCATATGAATACATACAATTTGTGCCTGTGTGCTACACTACGCCAGGCAATAATGGGGCAGCAGATACTGAATGTCCGTCTTTGTCTGGCGAGGCTGGATTTTATCCGAATCAGTCAAGTTTGTATTATCATGAAGTAAAGAAGCCTGTGGGACAAAACGGTTCACACAGAAAGGCTATAAAATGCCCATCCACTCATCACATTTATGACAGTTTTATTCCGCCCTTGGTCATCGCCTCAGTTCTGTCGAGATTTCAGATAAAGTCATAAACTAAACACGCACCAGATAAAAAGAGAAAGCAGGAGAAAAATATGGGGAAAGCTTATTGCCCACCTTTTGCAAAAGACCAGCTCGAATTTACGATCCATGTTTTAGACGAGGTGAGACAGAATATTTACATATTTACAGTGGAATCATTTGTGGGTGTCACTTCATTTGCATAAATCTCACTTTGCCCATTTTTGGCGAGACGGACTATCACTCTGTTTCATGTGTCAAAATATGCAAATGAGATGACATCCTCAATTAATTCCATTTGTACGTGTCACCTCATTTGCATAAATCTCACTATGCCCTATTTTTGGCAATACGGGCTTTCACTTTGTCTCATGCTGCAAAATATGCAAATGATGCGCAAATAACTCCACTGTACGTTATTTTTCTTTGTGAGACATTACATTTTCATAAATTATGACACATGTAGTTTGACATAAGCCGAAGCGTAAGTCCGGACGATGAGGACGAGGTGGAAGAATTGCCTGTCGTGAAGGACGACGTGATATCAGAATTAGTCGACATTCCTTCAAACCGTGAAGGTGGAGAAAGTCGGACCTCGTCTTCATCCCCAGATTCCAACATGTGCGATGGTAAGTGAGACAAAAAAATATTCTTGGGAAAAAAGTGAAAGTTTCGTTTCTTGCGGGTTTACAACATTTCTGGCACTGCAAAGTAAGAAAAGTAAGAAATGCGAGGTGCAAGAAACTGGGAGAAAGTGCAAGAAATCTGCGCCATCCAGCCACGCGTCGTATGAAATATTTATAGCGACGGGCGTGGTTTCTTGCGCCTTGCATTTCTCCCAGGTCAAAATATTTACCTGCAAGAAACCACTTTCTCCCCCTTATTTCTTGCAAGTCGTTACTTTCACCAGAAAGTGAAAGTTTCGAGTGATCTTTTAGAACACTTGGCCAAACTGAAGACAACTTTGGAAGAGCGGACGACGACAGGTGATCTGCTCCAGGATCTCAAAGCCATGAAGGAAGAAGCCTGGGCTAAAAGGAAAGCGAGGAAGATGAGACGAGACATGAAAAAGGTTCAGTTTCAGGACGAAGATAACAACGGAGGAACTTCACCATTTTGTCGGAGTTGCTGCACCGGAAGGAAAAATTATGTCCCGTTGTCAATTCTCATGAAAAGCAGTAGCAATCACCAGATTGGGGTAAAGAGAGAAAGTGAGACGAGCAGTACTTCCGGAGAAAGCACGATTAGTAGTACGAGTAGTACTGACTTTCTCGGTGGAGCGAGGAAAGGGGTAAGTTGATACAGATGATATGCAAAATTTTGCAGATTTTTTACAAATTTCTATGCTTTTCTTAACTTTCAACAGGTTTTTGCAGATTTTTTTAATAATTTGTATGCTTTTCTGAACTTTCACCAGGTTTTTACAGATTTTTGCCAATTTTTTGCTAATTTTTATGCTTTTCTGAACTTTCACCAAGTTTGTGCAGATTGTTTGCTAATTTTTGAACTTTCACTAGGTTTTCCCACCGACGCCTCGATCTTATCGCCCAATCGCGCACATCCATTCGATCAACATGTTCGAAAATATAATTCCTCGCAAAATTATGGACAGGACGAAATCCTCGGAGAAAACTTTTGTCCCGTTTAACACCCCGATTGCCAAAATGCTTGCGGATATTGCTTAATAATATTTAATGTAATTCGTGAAATAAATAAAATTTTATACAAAAAATTGATACTTTTTCAAAATCTTTTTATTATTGTATTCCACGTCGTCGGATATAATTACACGAATCATCATCATTATTTTATACGTAATAATTCATGATATTTAGCATAATATGTTATGTGTCTTATATGTTGATGTGGGTACCTTCTTATCGTTTAAATCGCTTATCATTTCGAAACTAAATATTATGCAAGTGTATGTACCAAAAAATGTAATCCTTTTTTTTGATCTTTTTTAAAGTTTGCGTTAATATAGCGAAATATTTTTGATAAGCAAGTATTCAATAATGCAACTTATCGACTTTTTTTGCAATGATAAATAGCTTATCAAGCTTATCCTCCTCCTCGACTATTTTTTTGTTAATGTTTTCATTTCGTATATAATTCAACCCTGTTTTAGGCACTATAGCAAGTAATCGTCTTATCTTCATTTAAGCATCGTAATCCTAACGCGGTTGATAATTTTATATGTGTTTTAGACTTTTTAGGTGATTTTTTATGTGTAATTTGCTTAGGATTGAATTGAACATACAGAAAAAATTCCTACTTCTAATTTCTATCTACTTGTTATTTTTTTCTCCTACGAGTATATAAGATATCGCCCTGAGCTATAAATAACTATGTACCTGCTTGGTCATTATTATGCAAATTTACTTGTGTAATACTATATAATATTCGATATCTAACGATAAGCAGCTAAATTCTAGAGAAATTTATGTTAAATTTCCCGAAATAATGGCCGTTTTTTAATTATTATTTATGCTGGTTCATTTTAATATGATGCATATTTTCCTGTTTGTTAGGAACCTTTATAAATGAATCAATTAATAAGAAATATTTCCGATTTAGGAAAATCAAACTAGATAAAAAAACGGGAAATCGAATAAAATTTCGATAACTTTAAATCCTAGAAAAATCATTTTGATTAAGGGAACCCATAAAAAATAAGTTTTTTTTTCAAACAAGAGAATTTTTTTCTTAAATTTTTGCAAATTTAATTTTGAGCTTTCTGCTTTTTTTAATCATGTTGCGACATTTAATATGTATTTATCGAGAGTTCAGAATCAAGGATCAACTCTGACTACTGAACACAACGTGGACATCAATCATGCGGTAAGAAGTAAAGTAATAAGAATGCTGAACTGCGCATGTCTTAATTAATTAATCATAATTAAGCATAATAATTAACTTGTATAACAAATCGGACTGAAAAAAGGACAAAAAATTAGTAAATAATATTCCAAGTGAATGAATAATATTTTTTGTTTGTTAATCGACTTTTTTTCTCTACTAATTGATCGCTTATCATCATCCTTCTCCTTATCATCAATATTTAAAAAGAAATATTATCATTTTATAGCGATATTACAACACAGCGATTCAATCGAACATGAATCACAGAACGAACACCATTAATGGCAAAAAAGAATAAAAGAAATCCAATATGTAAAGACAAATTAGTATGCAAAACTTAAAATACAAGTACATTAATTAATAACTCCGTAAGTAAGTAAGGAAATTGTAGAATTGGTATGTTTTTGGTTGATATCATAAATATATTAAAAATCGATTATAGTGTAAGGCAAGATGTGAAGAAGATCTCCTTTAAACGACTCAACTGCCACGACCTCTTGCCATTCTTTGAAGAGACCGTCCTTATCCAGATTTCCGTTCAGGTTGCCGATTTTCTCGAGGTGGAGACGCTCCACTTCGGAGTCGTCGATCTCTCTCGGAGCAGGAGCATCAGCTTCCGGTTGTTCTTGGTCTTCTGCTTGTTCGGATGTATCCATTTCGTCAATTGTTTGAGGTAGAGTGGTGCTAGATACCACGATTTGTGGGATAGTTGATGGGTCGTCGGGACCGGAAGTGTCTTCAATTTTGGGTGAAACGTCCACAAAATCGTCTTCATCTTCACTGTCGCCCCAATCGATTTTACTGGCGATGAGAGGAGGTGCAGCTTCAGCAATGTTATTCTTAATATTTTCAGCGTTACTTTCATTGGTTGAAGTCAGACTTGTAGCATTTTCAGTCTCTATTTCAGGTTTGGATTTAGCTTCCTCGTCTTCAGAGGGAACGTCGAATTTGAAGTTTTTTAGTTCCTCTAAAGTCTGAGGGTCGATGGGGGGCAGGCGGGAGAGGATTTCGGACTCTGTCGGAAACGAAATCGTTGTGGTGGCGTTGTTTTCCCCGCGATTCTTCTTTTTGTCGCGTTTCCGCTTCTTTTTGGAGTCCAGGGGCTCATCCGCGGTGGGGGGAATTACTGGGGGTGGAGGAGGGGTTGGTTCGTGAGGAAGCAAGGAAATCTCATTCCTCTGACGTTCTATTTGTTTGTTCTGAGAGTGTAGATATTCCTTGACAAAGTCACTTTTCATGACGGGATCGTCTCTACTTAAAGCTGCGGTGATGTGAGGTTTGGGAATAGGTTTTCGCTCAAGTGGGGGTGGTGGTGGGACGGGAGAAATGTCGGGGGTGGGAGGAAAGCGGTGGTCGTCATCGAATATTTCCATCGAGAGGCGATGCACGGTCCGAACCATGCTTTCTTGCTTGGCCTGAGCGATTTGCTTGTGGATGCGTAAAGTTTGAGCTGAAAGCAAAGATACAAATTTTCAGAGTTTGATAACATTTTTGTATAGAACAATGGGCAAAATATGTCTTAAAATTTCTTATTTTGAGCTCCGTTCTTCCCAGGGTATGGATTTTCGGGGGTGTTACACCCAGAAAAATACGATAATCTACGTGGAAAATACAATTGTCTCACGAAAATATAGGTTTTGTGAAGAAATTAGCCTTTTATCGCTGTCAAAATGCATTGTTTTCACGATATTTTTAAATAAAGTATTTTAACAGTGATAAAAATTTTAATTTCTTCGTAAAACCTGTCTTTTCGACTGACTGTTGCCTTCTCCACGTAGATTTTCGTCTTTTTGTGGTGTAACACCCCCCGGAAATCCAAACCCTAGGAAGAACGGAGCTCAAAATACTGCATTTTGACAAACCAAGCAGTACTTAAAATGATTTAAAAAAATTACCATCCATCTCATTCGTTTTCTGCTTCTTTTTCCTCCCCCTTTTCTGCACGGGGGCCACCACTTCGGCTACCACGTTAACTTGAGGTTGATCATTGACATTGTTAGCACCATGATCTACAGCACTCCCTTCATTTTCCGGAATGGAGGAAAACAACGAAGGTTTATTATCATCTTGACCACAGAGTAAGGTTTCGGATGCGGATTCGCCTTCTCCGCCCGACATGGCGGGTGAGGTGAGGGCCGAGTCGCCCAGGATGATGCTGGCCGGACTCGGCGCTCCCGACAGGACGGCGGACGACGACATGTTGCTGACCGCTTTGGACGAGGAGCCATCACTGTTGTCGCTAGCACGCGAGGTCATCGAGTCTTTACTGAGGTCGTCGAGCAGCGCGAGGGAGGGGTCGTCCAGCGTACCCTCAAATATCCCACCGTTCGCGATTCCATGTCGAGCCTTCTTCGAGGGAGGACCAGCACTGGAAATTTGATGAGAAAAATATTAATACCAATTTTCAGAAATTTTAAGAGTGTAATTATTTTCAAAATTATTTTCAGACGGTTAAAAAGCTCAATTGTAGCCCACACATAGTTTCAGGACACAAAGTATAAGTCAATCATCACACAAGGACGAGAAACTGCAGGACAATAATTGCTAGCCACACGTAAATACGTACATAAATTCAAGCAACAATTCAGAAAATTAGTACACAAAAAAAACATACACTGTTAGAAATCTGATATAGTCAGGCAGATATTGATTTCTCGGTATTAAAGTTGCTACCGCTTGGTATAAAAATTGTACCAGTACGTAAAAATTAGCTACTGATATGGTAAAAGTTTTAATACCGAGCTATTACTACAGGGTATTACTTATCAATCCAACTTTTGTAGAGTCATATTAAAATACCGGATTTATAAGAGTGTACAATTCGTAAAAACATGCAACACAAAACATTACAAAAAGTCACAAAACAACAAACCTACATTTTTTATAAGCAATTATGGTTCTAAAGTTTCTAAAAACGAAACAATTCACTCCTTGCCAAAAAAATGACTTACTTCATCCTTTCAGCTCCATCTTCTATTCTCAACCGTTTATTAGCTGCATTTGTTCTAGAGAACGAACCAACAACGGAAATCATCAGTAGAGAGGGAACAACGAAATGGTAATAAAATTTCTGTGAAATTTTTAATCTCAAAACGGTTCAATACCTCGCCACGACCTCGACATTGGGCGCGTAGCTATTCGTGCTGGTCATCATCTTATTGGTATTGTTATTGTTGTTAAGTGGCGAGGAGCTGATGATTGGTCCACAGGAGGGAGATTTTGCTTTGTTACCAAACTGTGAAGGAGAACTGACTCGTAGACTAGGTGAGGATGAATGCAGCCGTGGCGACGATACGGCGGCGACGACGGCGGAAGGTATGGACGATCGACCGACTTGCTGTTGCTGCTGACCATTTCGGTTATTATTGTTGCTCGTGAGGTTGTTGAGAATGCGGGGGCTGAGGCTGTTCGAGTTGTGCAGGGCGTTCGGACTGATTCTGGACGCCGTCATTAACTGGGGGCTTGAAGAGTTCGAGTTGTATCCGCCGATTGATCGGAGGTGGCCGCCAGGAACGTGCAGTCCGTCCGAGTTGCCGTTCACGGGTCGCCCTCCGCCCCCACCGCCAGACTGTTGCTGCTCGTTGACGAGGACGGCGTCGCGCCATTTCTTCACTAAGTTCTTGGCCCGCTTCGCTAGCTTTTCGTCGTTGATACGTTTCCGAAATACGTTGATGGTCTTGCCAAGTCTGGTAGTCTGGAAATACAAAAATTTGAATTAAATTCCTCATTAACTTTAAGCCGTTTCATAATTTAATTTGATTTTTTTTATTATACCTCAAGCAATTCCTTTGTAACTGGTAATTGTTCCAGGGTCTCGAGGACCTCAATAATTGCGCCCATATCCTTAACCTGGAAAGATACAGAAAGAACGTCATTAATAATTAGAAATTTGAACATATTTTCGCATAATAGGTTTCATAGTGTTTCAAAATTAATGGAAAATTTCATAAAATCATCACCTCATCATTATTTTAACAGGTTGTGTCAACAATTCCACTCTACTAACAAACATTGCTGGTGCCCTTGCCGTAATTTACACAAAAATACCAACAAACAATTCCTTCTTCCTACACATATCCTATTTAGAATCGTAATAATAAGAACAATAATAACAGCCTGGGAACTGGAAATTCACTGATATTTCGTCCATCAAAACAACAACGCCAAGTGCAGCAACAAGTGATGCTATGCATACATACACGTGCAGTGAGAATGACGCAAAAAGCACAGTTTAACAGACTCAAACCAAACATCACTCTGTAAGAAGATGGATGAGTGGATGGATGGATGGATGGATAACCTTGTCACAAAAATGTATGAATCCAAAGTTCATAAATATATGAATGCGACGCGACTTAATATCCTCCTCATGTCACTCACTCAATATCGCTTCTTCCTCTCTTATTTATTAAGAAATGATCAAACGAATCCTGTCGATTTGTGATGTGTATGAAAGATACCAATCAATTGTAAAAATAGACTTCAATCCAAATCCGGCAATTTTCTTGTTCCCTTTATGATTCCTAATAATCCCTGAATAATGAAAAGAAGATGATTATGATGAAAGGGCACCGTTTCAATATATTTTTCTTCTTCTTCTTTTCTTCGCAATTAGGCAGGCACACAGAACAGTTTGGCTCAGAAATAGCGGATGTGTCATGTACATGTACCTACCTAAAACATGAAATCTATCCCAAAATCTCGACTTGCACTCTCATTAAGAAGGAGTCACCACCAACCAAGCCACCCAAACTCCCAACATTTCCAGGAATAGATCAAGGAAAGTAGTTCAACGACAATGATAACGTGTGCAAGCTCCAAAAAGTCGTCGGAAAAGCTAAAAACAAGCATTTTTCCCCATATCTATTTCGACAACGACGAACGACTTTCTCCACAACGCCACGAGCAACGCATTATTCTTTACTTTACCCAAACCCACCCAATAAATCGTCATCTGTCAATTCAATGAGCCAACCAAACCAACCCGTGTGTGTACCTTCTTTCTCTGCTATTGCCCTCTTCTTTTCATAATTACGGAAAAACAAAAGTCAAGCCCACATGCCGGGCATTATGTTTAACAGCGCGTGTGCATCTCTGGCTACCCGGATGTACATACATATGCAACCTACCCGAAAATAGTTCAATCCTCACCACCACCACGTTGACTTTGTTCAGTAAAATAACATTGTCAACACCCACGAGCTAACCTTTCGTCGTAGAAAAACGTTCCTTCAACCTGACATGAAATCGATACCGCGAAAGAAAGGCGGAGCTCGCTCGTGGGGGTGTGGGGACACGACGAGGAAAGAAAGCAATAATCAGGGACCAGACAGTGAGTCCTTGCTGCTACCCTTAATAATAACAGTCCCCTGCATTTCTCTCACCAACCTCGGCACCAACTTTTATCGACCAGCTTCACCAGAGCTCTTGTCTCTTCGACCCGAATTTCTAATACCCGTCTCTCTCTCCTCACAACTACGGAGAACGGAGACCAGCTTTAGTTTGGGATGGCATTTCTTCCACGGAACGAAATTACAGACCAGACCAGCCCGACAAGCCTGCCACCACCAGGATACCTAACCTCGCAGGGAAAGTCCGTCTCCTCTCTGGCTCCTCCATTACGTGGAGAACCCATCTAATAACTTACTACTGCACCAGGTCCACTGCTTCTTCGCCAATTTCAAGGTAATTTTAAAATTTTCAAGTTTTCCCTATTTTACCCTATTTTCCCACCGAGACACGCCCATTTTTTAAGGGGAACTTTCTTGAAGAGAAAGTTACTTTAAAATTGTGTTTTAAACGGTCATTTTTTACGGAAAAGTCGTCATCTTTAGAGTGGAAAGGTTAAAATATAAAGAATTTCGAAATTCTGGGGACGATTTTGTACAGAAAAATCGAGTTAACAATAGCTTTAGTGAGTGCGATTCAATATGGTGGTGGTGGAAGAAGAGAGGAGCCATTTTGTCGTCCCGTGACAATGGATCGATATTCTGCTTTCTCCTCGAGAGAAAAAAAACTTAACCCATCGTGTATAAGATAAGTACAAAATCTAGTAGTTATCATCCCGTGTCGAAAAATTGACCCAAATTTTCATCAATATTTTGTCTACCGGAGAATAATACACAAGTGTTTCTAAACAAACAGAATGTCTGTCTGGTTCAAAATAATAATCCCATTCCCATTATTATTTACTAGGAACTAAACTAAACTAAACTAAACTGCATTTAAATAAATAATAACTTTTCTTGTTGTTGTAAATGTCGAGCTTTCGTATGATTAGTTTAGTACCTATTGAAATCGAGGTCGCTCTCCTCGTCCTACATCCATCCAACCAGCCAAAATCAGTTTATATAGACTTCTCCACCGCAGTATAATATTTTTCAACTAACCCAAATTAATTTCTACGTATGTAAATACGTATAGCATTTACCGATTATTTAACTAACTTTTCATTGTTATTTAGCATTAGTTAGTTAACAAATTTGTCAATCCGCTTTACGATGCATTCTTGCAAAAATTTTATATCCAGCCAGCGAATAAGTTAAATACCATTTACTAATTGAACTGTTATTCTTACAAAATACGAATTTCAACACCCACAAAAACATTACACCATCCACCATCATCCTTGAAGTAAAGGTTAGATAAAGGATATTTTGCCTTGTTACGCTGCTAGCTACATAAAAGTGACGTTGTTATATAGGAGGAAAAGGCATATAAAAAAGTGGTCGAGGGGGAAGATCTCTCTTTTTGTATGTATCTCTATCTGTATATTTTATAACAACGCCAAGGTTGGTTAGGATTTGGTTTCGATGGTTGGGAAATTTTACCAGAGTTGGATGTTAGTCCGCTTTCAGCATCATTCAACGTAGTCAGGTTCGTACAACGGTTATCTGTATGACGATGATGACTACGAACGAAGGTCTGCTGCTGAAGCGTATTTATTTAACCACGTTTAAAGTAGTGGAAAGATAGGAGAGTAAAATATATGAAGGAAGAATTAGTTTTACTTGGTGGCTGGTTCGCCTGTCTGTTCTGTGCACTGCTCGTCGTGTTCCTTTTTCCTAAATAACGTTCGTTCGTTTCATGTGACTCAGCCTCTTTAATCAGTCAGCGACGTTAATTTTTGTAGTTTTTAATAATATTTAAACTTAAAGAAAGAAAGAAACTGGTGGAGGTGGTGGAATTGGGATTTGATGGTGCCTTGTTTTTGTGGGTGAGTTTTTTTTTCATTTTCAAAATTGAAAGATTCTATTCAGAATTGTTGAAATAGTTCGGTAAAATTCCAACGAGTGAAAGTTGTTAAAGAAAGAGGAGAAAGTTTTTATGAGAGTTAAAGTAAAAAGAAGTAGGAGATCAATAGCCAATAAGTCGTAAATTTTCATTTTATAATAATGAGTCATGTTTTTATTCTTTTAAATTAATCGAGGAGAAAGATTTCCATAATTATTTCCATCATTTTGGATTTTAGATTCGTGTACAAAATTAGTTTAGTAAATATGCCATGATTATATGAGAGGTCAGCTGTTTTGATTTCACATTCACATAAAAATTGGTGCTCGGAGGAGGATGAAGAAGATTTAGATTTATAGAAGAAGAAGGCGCATATTTATCATTATTAATTATTTAATTGCTTACATGATAGCTATCGTCGACAGCGTCAATTAACCTTTGTGTCAGGATCACAGGCGACTGCTGCATGAGGCCGGGGGTCGTTTTGCCTTTAACCTGCAGCAGCAGGCCAGCAGATGACGACGACGACGACGGCGACGACGGCGGTGGAGGAAAAATTGTGCAATTTTGCCGATTTTTCTTCTCCTTCGCAGCAGTAGCTCCAATTTCTCTCAACAATTTATTATTATTATTATTGTCTCTTCTTCTCCCCAAATTAGTCGTTGTGGTCGTCGCCGTTTTAATAATAGTTAAAGTAGAAGTGTCGTCGCTTCGGGGGTGCGTATTGGGTGCCAGTTTAGCAACGTTTTTTCCTCTCCTTCTAATTTTTTCTCTACTACAAATTTTTCGATTGATTGATTTCTTTAATTAATTAATTAGTAAGTGATGAATGAATGATTGTTGTTTTTTATTTCAGAAAATAATACAGGACACAGTAAGCGAGCTCCGTGCACACACCGAGGTGAACATGGACTAGTGAGAGCCCGGTGTTGGCAGTGGCTTTCATAGTGAAGTAGAAGCAGACATGTATTCTCATCCATCCATCCTCCAACGGCACGGGAGCAGCATTGAATTCAAGAGGCAGACTGAACCCACTGCAACAAACTCGACCAAAAACTCTCAACATAACAAACGATACGAATGTCTTCAACATGTTGGTTGGTCGGCCTATCAGCCACAGCCGAGCGGTTCCCTCGCCATCAAAGCCGTAGGATTTCGCCCCCCTCGCCAACATGGGGAGAGATGCCGACTTTGTGAAGGAAATGGTGAACAGTTACGACGACGAGGTTCCGAAGCCCTGTGCGACGCAGGCGGAGGCGATTTCTTCGTCATGATGATGATGATGATGATTTTGTAGGAGAGAAGAATGATGAAATGAAATGAGAATGCTGCTTTTGGCTTGGATTTGTTGTTTGCAGGGGAGAAGGAGAATGAGTAGAGGCGTGCAAATTGTGCGAAATTTGGGAAGATTTGGGGGGAGAAAGTTGCAAATTTTGGATGAGATGGATGATTTTTTTTATTTTTGGAAAACTGCACTTTTTTAAGATTTTTTATGAAAACCAACCGATTCCGGACTGGACTTGGCACTGCGGGTTCAATTACACAAAAACTATTGCTCTGCTTTCACCACGAAACTTTCACTCTGGATTTTGCTCAGAATTGCGAATGAGGTACCGTTTTTTGACGGATCTTTACGACTACCACGTGTTTAATGTGTATTCCTTCCTGTCAACTGGTTAGGGAATCGTATGCATGTATACCAACCAGATAACTATATAAAAAGTGTTGCACCACTTGCCCCACCAGACCAGCAGCGTTGTTAGCGTTGTATTTTGTATACAGCAGATGGATGGATGACTTCAACGTTGAAGCGATGCGATGGATGATCGAGGGAGAGTTTGAGAGAAGAACTGGCCTCGACTCTGTTCGACGATTACACGAACGAGTTGTTGGATTGCTTAGAGAAGAACTGCGTTGTTTGGATGTTGAATTTCAAATTTTTGGTTGGCTAGCTAGCTAAATCTGTTTTGTAAGAGGATGGATTGGATATTATTTCGTCGTCGAACCGAACCCCTGGCTTTTCATGAGTGCTTTTCTTATGGAAAGAGGTCGAGGGGATGATTATATGTGTGTACCTATAGGAAATTATGGCTATGTGTATCAATCCACGGGCTACGTAATGGGGAAGGGGACCATAATACCAACTAAGCAATTTAGAAAAGTAGTGTTGAGCAATATGTAATAAGGATATGAGATGAGATGGTCCCATGTAAAGAGCTTAATTTAGATGGGCACGCTATACGTTACCAGTGGCCGCGGAAGGACAATGTCCCCACGGTTGTGCGATGTCGGCATCATCTCCCCATCTTATATAAACCACTCCCTCCTCTTATCATACAATGGTAATTTAATGTCCCCACGGCTTCCGCGGCCACTGCAGGTTACAGAATTTGTATGTCTGTTCTGCCGTATTATATGAAAAGAATTGGTATACTGGCAGCGGAATTATTTGCATGGATTGAAATACCTACATAAGTATGAAGAGTGAATTGCGTAGCACTAGGCTAGACTTTGGTAGAATGGATGGAATTGTATTATGTGCAAAAATAATATGTACGAGAAGAGTATATTTGCAAAAGCGACCATATGGTGCACTTTGTGGTGGAAAAATTTCGAAAAATTTTGGGGAAATTTTATGCTAAAAGTATAAAAATGTGTGACTCAAAAATTAATGGGATGTTTAAATGAAGCTCACATTTGGAATGGTAAAATTTAGCCGAATTTTTAAGAAAATTTGAGTGAAAATAATAAAATGTCCATTGCACTGTAATATTTAGCCTTTTTCAGATTTAAAAATTATTTCGGAAATCGTTCCAAGTTTTATGAATATCTCAGAGAATGTACTAGTGACACACCGATTCAATCTTCAAAATTTTCCCGATATATATTCCTATTTTCGTTTAATTACACTTTCGTCGCCGTAATTCCTCAAAAAAATTACATTCATGATTAATCATGCCTATTGAAATTTTGTTCGTACTGGAATATATTTCCGACTGAAAAATTATCTTTTCGATGAAATCATTTGAAATCTTACATAAATATGTGGAATTTGATCTGGAAAATTTAATTTTATCATAATTTAATTTTTTCTTAATTCCACTTTCGTCGCCGTAATCCCTCAAAAAGATTATTATTTTTACCCGTGTCAATTATTCTGCTGTAAATATTTCCTAAAACTCTAAATTTTCGAAGGCTCAGGCATATCATCATCATTACCACGCCTGGCTGGGAAGTTAAGTTAAGTTAAATAAGTTGGCAGGCAAAAATATTTAAAAAAGCAGTGGTGGCAGGCAGTGAGCAGAATAAGGCCATGCCACCAACCTTTAGTTCATTCTCCCTTTAGCTGCACATGCATGCATTTTTAGCAGATATTTCACTTTACCAGACCAAACCAAACCAACGATTCCTCCAACACGTCGCCCATACTTAAATATGTATAACCGTACTTGCAACATCTTTTTTCCACCCTGTTGCTTGCTGGCACTGCATTTCTGTCTCTTTCCAGTGGCCGCGGAAGGTGTGGGGACATGTGGGGACATTAACATTGTAGGATAGGGGAGGGAGGGGTTTATATAAAATGAGGAGATGATGCGGACATCGAATAACCGTGGGGACATTGTCCCTCTGTCCCCTAAAACTTCCGCGGCCACTGCAGTATGTACTTAAACCAAGCTAAACTGAACTGAACCTACAAAGAGACGTGGATGCGGATTGGATTGGATCGCATTCTATGAAAAAAAAGAACTAGCAAAGTTTCAACAAAAGTCTGAGAACATGAGCTGAATAAGTCAAAAGCAGAAGCAGACCAAAAACCGGTAAGGATTTTGTATGAAAAAAAAGAAGAACAAAGGTTGATCCCTAGACGAAAAAAAATTATGATTTCAATGAAGTGAAGATTCCTTCAGCTTTAAGACGACGACGACGACGACTTTCTTTTTTAGTGCCCTTTACGTTTACTATGTGTCAAAAAAAAGGTTCAATATTGTGTAAAGCTGACAAAATTATTACATTTGGGACAAGTTCTATAAATGGGTCTTTTTCTTGGAATGGAAATTTGGGAATTTTATCAAAGTACAAAATGACTTATTACCTTATGTACAAAAATGCTTATAAATGGGTCGTCTCCTTTTCTTGGAAACCCACTTTGGGAATTTTATCAAGATTAGGGAAATACGTGGAGTAAAAGTACCCATGTTTTAAGCCGTAGTTTACATAAATGCAAAGCTAACACGGTCCTTTAAGCCAAAATGGATCACTTTTTGCCGTTGTTACTGGGATGAATTCTTTAACCTCATTTCGCTTCATTCTGCATTTTTCGAGCTCACTTGAACACACCGTTTCGTACTTACTTACATGTACTTCATGGGGTTGAGGAGGTTTCAATTCAAGGAAACCACCCAGTGCGATTTCTGTTCACGTAATAATATACGTACCCAAAGTACCAGCATTTAGGTGAAATTGTACTCCTTGACTGCACTACAATTTTACGCGTGTAATACAAGAGCGTGTGAATGAATTTCATAAATATCGAGTTTTAAAAAAATTACAATTTCCACCAGCAGAATTTCCCATTACGAATAAGATTGTACAAAATGTACATAAACCACTGCTTGGCTTGAAGAGCTTGTAATAATTGATGAATTTCATATCGAGTTTTAAACAAAAATTACAATTTCCATACTATTATTTAATGCTTTTAAAGCTTTTCCCATTATGAAGATTGTACAAACTTAGGTTAGCGTATGTACAGACCCCGTTACTTGGCTTGAAGAGCACGTAACAGATAATGAGTGCATAATAATTATAAGAATTTGAAAGTTGCACTTTATTGCAGTGTCAGTTAGTTAGTTGGCATTGCATTATGGTGGTGAATGAAATGAAATGAATTATGTATTTATGATGACGAACTCAGCCAGACTGCACTGCATATAACTTAACATTACTTGCATATGAATGAATGCATTCAAAAGTCCAACATTTTAAGAGAGGAAATGAGCTCTACTAACTAACTAAACTGGCAAAGACTGTGTGTATTGCTTGGTTAATTTTCTACCTGTTGAATGTTACATGCCTCACGAAATTCCAACTGCTTGCACAGCTTTTTTGGCTGGTTTAGCATTACCTTCGATGTGTTGCATGGTTCAGGGAATTCTCATATTTGAGCCGGCATCGTTACAGGATTGAGCAGAATTGTGAAGCTGTAAAGCAAACGGAGTTTAGCAGTGTTGTAGGAATCTCGTCATTTTACGTGGCAAATAATACTGGCGAGGCGAGCTGGTTACAGGAACTTGTCTCAAAATGTCGGCTTTACGGGATAAGTTCCTGTAACAGACAGAAAAAATGGATTTGTGATTCACAAATTGTGAATGTGATGCGGTGGCGTTGTTGGTTGTTGGTGTAATGTTTTTGGGATAATATTGCAGGAAATGGTACAAATTGGGGGCAGGATGGTTCACATAAGAGAGGAAAAATGTGTATGATGGATAGATGTGTAAATGTTGATTTTAGGATGAAATTGAGCTCATCTGGATGTAATCTGGAGTCAAATAAATTTTGAAATGTGTCAAATTTCGTATGCATTATTTTTAAAGAACTTAAGATTTTTGATTTCGCAGTTTGTCATAATTTTTAGTGGATATGGATAGATGAAAGGTAGCGATATTTTTGCCAAAACTGAAATAAATACAAATCGGAAAATCTCAAATTTTGTATGCTTTATTTTTCATTTTTAACACTTTGCTATTTTCGTCTTCGAACATTGTCACAATTTTTAGTGAGAGAAAGCTTGCGATTATTAAAATTCGTTGAATTAAATTTCAACGAATTTTTGCCAAAAATGAATCAAATACAGTTAAAACTGAAGCAAATTTTGTATACTTTATTTCTCGTGATTTTAACACTTCGCTATTTTCATGCTTGCAATTTGTCATAATTTTCAGTGAGTGAAAGCATGCAAACTTTTTGACAAAAGTGAAATAAACTTTGAAAATGTCTCTAATTTTGTAATTTTTATTTTTCATGATTTTGACATATCGTTATATTGGTTTTCGCACTTTGACGTAATTTCTAGCGAGTGAAAGCATAGGTATTTTTGGCAAAAGTGAAACAAGTCAATTTTAAAATGTCTCAAATTTCGAATCCTGTATTTCTCATGATTCTAACATTTCGCTATTTTCATGCTCGCAATTTACCATAATTTTTAGTGAGTGAAAGCACACAGCATTTTTGATAAAAGTGAAACAAATAAGTTTCAAAATGTCTTAAATTTCAGATTCTATGTTTCTCATACTTTTAACATGTTAACTTTTTCGTGTTCACATTTTGTCGCAATTTTTAGTAAGAGAAAGCGCAGCACATAATATTTTTGCCAAAAGTGAAAGCATTGCATTGCGTTGCAGCGAGAGTTGGTGGTGGTGGTGGTGGAAAGAGGAGCACGTGAATCTCAGTCAGCGGTAGCACTTCACTTTGCTCGAAATAAATAACAAAACTCAATTTGTGTAAACTTACTGCAAAATTGTAGTGCAACTTTCACTCAAGTTTGATAAGTCACTTATCTCTTGTAGACTTTGACCTTTTGGAGTGAAGTGAAATCAAGATGACTTAAATTTTATTGTCCATTTTTTTCGTCATCCTCGTGATTCTTGTCTTGTGACGACGTAGGAAAAAGTTGCTGTGAATTTTTTTTTGCAAATCCTACATCTGTACCTGAATAGCTGAGAGAATGTGGGCAACAAGTCAGTTGATTCGTCAATATGGGACGAAAGTCGTGGCGACTGCGACAGTTAAGGGGGTCAAAAGTGGAAAGAGACTTATTCCTACAAGGGCTGCCTTAACTTTGGTAAGAAAAGATAAAAGAAATTGTGAAAAAATCGTAATTTTGAATTGGATTTTTTAAAATTTAGACACCGTCAGCAATCAGCAGGATTAAGTCGTTGCTAAAAGAAAAACCAGAATCGGTACTTGTCCAAAAATAAATTGATTTGTACAATTGTTTAGATTTTAATTGAATTTTATGATTATTTTATTTGATTTTATAATTGTTTTGTGCAGATTGGTCTTAAAATTGGGGTCAGGCAAAGGGGGTGCAACGGACTGAGCTATACGTTGGAGTATGCCGAAAAGAAGACAGCGATGGATGAAGAAGTTGTGCAAGATGGTGTGTTAATACATCTTAATAAATATTCTGAAAATTTGCATAATTAAATGTGTTCTAATTGTTCTCAGGTGTCCGTGTCCTAATTGATCAGAAGGCTCAATTGACCCTGCTTGGAACAGAAATGGACTTTCAAGAAGGTCAACTCGCCTCAGAATTTGTATTTAATAACCCAAACATAAAAGGAACGTGTGGGTGTGGCGAAAGTTTCTCTATTTAGCAGGCTGTTTTAAAAGATAAGTACTAATCGATCGCAACTCGGCGTACTTAAGTTAGTAGTGGACAAAAAAATCTCAAATTGTTTTCGTGAAAGATTTATAAAAAGAGCTACATATTACATATTATGCAAATAACACTTCGTCATGTTAAATTTCTAGTCGACTCTTGCAATAATAAAATCGTATATTTTATTTTCCATAATTTCTGGTTAATTCCATATAAAAACGAACTTTCCGATGATCGCACATTATCATATAATGTATCATATTCTGCATTTCCCATGAATTTCTTAACAAAATCTCATAAAATCCAATATACGGAGACTTGGTGAAAAAATACGAAGACGTTTTTGATTTTATTTAGAGAGCTTTCGCGTATGAATATTTCTCTATTTCATTTATAATTCTGCTTAAAATTGCTAATTTGTCTGTAGAATTTTGCAGTTTTCGACATAAATAGAATTTGTACATAGAGTCAATTCTGCTAAAAATTAGTTGATGCATATGAGACAGGCTGAAAATTACTCATTTTCAAGATATTTCATAAAGACTATAGAAATTTTGTAGGTACAAAATCTCGCACAATTTGAGATCAAAATTTTCTGATCTTCTAAAGATGCTGCACACGCCATCTAAATCTGAACCGATATTGTTTGTTAGATAGAGAAATGCAAAAATCCGTCTCATTCTCATCTCAAGTGCAACTTTCTCTAACCGGAACATATCTCATTTATTTGGGGTCATTACTCTTCATTCATAAAATTTCCGGTACAAACTGGTACGGGAAATATAAATACGTTTCACGTTGATTGGTCGGTACAAAAAACGTTTTTAGTGACCCAAAGGGGGGCTCAAAATTTGGAAGTAAAAGTAACAGCATTATAGCCAAAAAATCGTGTCAGAACCTGTTCAGTTGACGAGAAGGCGGCAAAGCGACGAGTCCTTTCCTTTCTTTCTCCGGCTTACTCGGCGCCCAAACTTGGATTTTCTCGCGTCATTAATTACGAAAAAATTAAATAATAGTTAAAAATTTTGAAGTTTTTTTCGAAAAAAATAACAAGTATCTATTATAACTAGCAAAAGTTGCTGTTTGGAGGGATTTTTTTGTGTGTGACAGAAGATAAGGTGACAAGACGAGACTTGTTTATTTGTGTGTGACTTAATTAAATTAAATTTGGGAATTTTTTTACGTTTCTAATTTCTAACGGTCGTTTCTTCCTGTGCGGATTCCGTTTAAAAGTTGTGAAGAGTAGGGAAGTAAGGAAGCTCAAATTAACTATGGCGAAAGTTCACGTCTCGAACGTCGTTGTGCTCAATAATCCGTGTCCGTTTTATACCCCGTTTCAATTCGAAATTACGTTTGAATGTATTGAAGAGCTGAAAGAAGGTAAAAAGACGTTGTATTTAACATATTTGGAAAGAGTTGGCAGTTTGTAGTAAATTTGGAAATGTTTGTTTTATAGATTTGGAATGGAAAATAATTTACGTTGGCTCGGCAGAAAGTGAAGCGTACGATCAAGTCTTGGATACGGTGTTTGTAGGTCCTGTACCAGAGGGGAGACACATGTTTGTATTTCAGGTAAGTTCAGCGTATGCAATTGATAATTAGTGAGTCACTGAGTCGACTATTGTGGGGAAAAGTGCATCTTAAAAAATAAAAGATCTTTTTTCGTTATAGGCTGACCCACCAGACACAGGCAAAATCCCAGTCGCTGACGCTGTCGGCGTTACCGTCGTACTTTTAACGTGTTCGTACCGAGGAAAAGAATTTGTTCGAGTTGGATTTTACGTCAATAATGAATACAATGAACCAGAACTGAGGGAGGTTCCTCCTAGCTCTCCGATTTATGATAAGGTAAAAGAAATAACTAAATATAGCTCCTCAAAGTTGCAATTTTCCAATGAATCTTATCATGTTCCAGCTCGTCCGCAACATCTTGGCAACTCAACCTCGAGTAACTCGGTTCAAAATTGAATGGGACGATAAGCCCGGATCAGCTTTGACCAATGGGGCAGGACCATCTTCCGAATTGGCTCAACATGACAATGACAATTCTATCGATCAAGGAAACGACAGCAACAGCGCTCCACCTCTCATAGGAAGCTCAGCAAATAATGGGGATTCCTTTGGACGCGACCGGCTGAGCGCGGATAGCACGAGCAGCTTGATGGAACCACCCCCAACCAATTTCTTAGGAGCTAACAACAACGATTCTCTGAGCAGTCCAATGGAAGTCATTTAATTCTCTACGAATAATCGTCTCAATTAATAATTACTGAAAGCAGGATATAACATTAATTAATATCTACTACAGCAATTGTTTCATATGTATTACATTACTTTAGAGTACGTTACTCATCCAGACAGCCAGCTACATATTTAAGCCGTAGTATTTACTGTATTATTATATATTTACCAATATTTATGTATGATCCCTCAACGTATCTCAACAATACGGATAACACGACGTTTTTTTCTCTTTCGTTTTTCACATTTTCAACTGTTCGTGTCACAAGAGGAAAGCCAAATAGAGATTTATCTGCAGATCTACATTCAACTTGTAATTTATCAAATGCAGTGATAAATAAATGAAAATCAATAAAACCACGTTTTCATCCGTGACTTTACCTTTGTAATATATATGTGACTACAACTTGCAATTTTATTTTTGGATTTTGATTAGAATTATACATCAATTTCATAATTTTTTGGGTAAGGTGAAATTTTGGTTGTATTATAACGCTCGTAATTATAATCATGTCACCAGTATTCTTTTCTAAAGTAATTGTTTAGCATCTTGATATTATTTAGCACTCAAATTGAATAAGAATATTCATCCAAAAATATTTCATAAATATTTATACGTTCGTTCGTTCTCACCAAAATACAAGTTCATTTATTTAATTAGAAGGTGGTGAAAATATTGATAAGCATTAAACTATAGTACTGTCGATTCTATCGATGATGCGATTTGATTTATACTTATAACAACGTTTCATTCTCGTATATACGATAATATAATTGCGATAATTGTTAAATATCAGTCCATTCTTTTCATTTTCCCGTATAACAGGCAGAAGACATGTTCTCATTCTAACAAACAGGTAGGTAATTAATATTGGCTAGTTTTTCTAGGTAGGTTCCACAACTATGTATTGTGTCGTGTAACAGCAAGACTAATCTAAGATCTGCTTCTAAATAATTTAAGACGACATTGATGCTTCAGAAGTTGACTGATTTCTTGACCTGGTGTTAAATTCTGCCGCGGCGGCGGTTTCTTCTTCTGTTAGAAAGTTGTATTTGAAACTGATTGATCGCCGGGATAAGCCCCAAAATTGTTGTGGCTTGAGACGGCCGACCGCCTTGAATTTCCAGCCGAGATGGTTGAGACATCTTCGGCATTCAGCAATCGTCCAAGAGTATCTGGAGATGATGGAAGATAAGTATTTGCGATAACAATGCTAAGTTGATAATGGCATATCATACCCTGGAAACCAGCTCGCTTCAGTGGAACTACGCCCTCTCAAAACCACTTCCCTCTTAGTTTTGTGAACTGTCAGGGTCTCGTGGACAAATCCTTGCGGGTTGACGTACGTTCCTTGCGGTCCTTCCACCGACATTGAGAATATTTCAGTACTTTCCGCAATTGAGGTCTGGCATTTACGACAGGTAATGACTTTGCACTAAGCAAAACCAGCATTTAATTAGATAAATAATTATACATTTAAGTCTTATTAATAAAAATCAAGTATGATTACTTACTGCTCTCGAGAGTAAATCTAGCTCATATCTCAGTCTAGAGACGGGACTATCCATCTTTAAAATCCTCATGCGATGATGATCGTCCATCGTCAAGTTTTGTGCGAGCCAAAATGATAGTTCTGTAGCATCTTTGGGTATACGAGACGAATCTGTGAGCCCTTTCAGGTCAATTCGTAATTTTCGATGAATCCTCTCCACCAAAACGGATTCATCAAATTGCTCATACACGAAATATGGGAAGGGGGTAAACGCCGAGTAAAATTTCGTCATTTTCCTCTTGTCTAAAATTTCCGCTCGCATTTTCGCCAAGTCAGCATCAACCAAAGCGTCATCTTCCTTTGACGAAGAGTTACTCGATATGGACAGCAATTTAGCCAGTTTTCTAGTTGTTGGTTCATTGTTCTCTGCTCCACTTTCGTCCATGCTGACGTCTTCGTATTGGCGTTTTATTGGATACCGGTAGCGATGAGTTTGACCCAACATGACGGATTGTACCATGGGAGGTAGCCTTATCTCGGGGCGAACTCGAACCATCCCCATAAGATTGCCATCCGCTTGTCGACGAAAGCTTATAACATTGAATCGCTGACGACCTTTAGCCTTCAAGGCGAAAGTGGATAAACCCATTGGATGTCCGTTCGGGGGGTCACTTTCTTCTTGGAACTCGTAGATTTCAGCAATTGTTCCAAACGCGCCATTGTACACGGCACTTCCAGACGAGGTGTCCAACCTATTAAATAAAAACAGCGATAAAATACGTAGTTCACTAGATTTTCGAAGCTTGTTAATAATTTCTTACTCGTTGTGTACAATTCCAAACACTTTGTTGGTCCCGATACATCTTCTGATGGCATTTTGGAAAACTGCATGGAAAATGGTGAGTGGGAGGGTCTGTCCGGGAACGAGTTGAATTCCCATTACGATCAACGGGATTTCCGGCGTGGGGCCACCATCATCGAACAAGACTCGCCCCTGAAGTTCTTCCATCCCTTCGCCAAGATACTGTCGACAGGAAATTAAATTAATATCACCTTTAGTAAACTTAAAATATTATAGATTTTATTGATTAAGCTGCTACCGAATGACGACCGGGAAGCTGAAGATCGAAATCTGCCGGGGGCACGATATTTTCCTCATTTCCGATAAGAGGATTGTTTTCATCCTGCTGTTCTTGTTGATCTCCTGTAAATTATGTCAAACTTAAGTATCAAACTTATTTGAATATTTACATAATCAAGCAGATCGAGGCGAAACGTTATTCAGCCAAATATCGAAACGTATTATTATGATAAGTAAAATTCCATAAAAACTTTTTTTCCAGGGCACAAACAACGTTCAGCCTCAGTTCTAAAGTAAGTAAGAATTTCATGCGACGACGATACGAACAAAACTATTAAACTACAGCAATTTAAAGTAGATAAGTGAAAAAACTATTCTATTTTCTTAAAATTATCATCACATCGTTATCATAATTCACTGTACTTGACACTCTTCGATGAAAGAGGCGATGCCAAATTCTTCTCGGTCTGAAACGAAGGAGTCGCTCCATATTTTTTAGAAATTTTATAGTCTCTAATAACAAATAGTCACTGAGGCTGAACGTTATTATTATATTATTAAGTTCGAAATGTCTGAGAACGGTTAACAATTCTCTATCAAAAATGTTAATGATTTTAGCAGCCAGCCAAGCATATAAGTTAGCGATCAAGGCTGAAATCATTGCAGGACAAGTCCTTAAAATTTAACTGGTTCACAAAGTCATCGTCACCGTCATCCTCCTCACAAAGGATTAATTTACCATTTTCTTCCTCGTCGAAGTATCCGTCTTCCACGTTGTCCATTCCATCGTCGTCGATGTAGTCGTCGTCGTCGTCCTCGTCGAGACCATCGGGCAACGGTTCGCCATAAATGTGTCCCACGGCAAGAATTCTGTCCATCAGGGGCCACACATTTTCCATCACTTGATGAACAATTTCCTGTGCGTTAAGTCCACCTTGTTGTTCTGGAACAGCGGCAGGAGGAGGAGGAGGAACAACGGCTTGTTCTTGTTCTTCATTAATGCGAACATTTTCGGGGGGAATGTTCTCTAATTCTTCAGCCGGAATTTCTTCTTGTTCTTCTTCTCGTGATCCTGGAATAATTGGGGGTGGGGTTGGAGCATCGTCTCGAGCGTCTTCGTAATCACTCTCACTGCTGTCTTCGGACATGTTGTGGTGCTATTGATGAGGTTAAGGGTGGTATGCTTATCTTATCTCATACTTACTGATAATTAACGAGGACAACAAAATTAGTGCACTTCACACTTGTACCATGGCTAAAACACGCACCGTTCACGAGCTGTAAGTTTAACAGAGTAAAATTAATGAAACACGATAAATATAAATATACAATTTAAATTTAATTGAACAATCAAAATTAGTCGAATTTTCTCACCTCACTTTTGTTGACGAATCCGACCCCGACGTGTTTTTTTAATCTACCACGTCCAAAAATATTCCGGACCAACAACAAGTCAATTTTCACTTTGTTTACAAACAGTGTCCAAAAACAAATACGATGAATGAGGAATGAGTGGAAAGAAACTGCGTTTTAGGCTGCAAGCAAAGCAAAGTGAGACGACCTTTCTCCATTTGCACATGTGTAGCAAGTGCATCTCACTTTCCCCAATAAAAAATAACCATTTTCTCTTTGTTTCGTTGCTTTCTCTTATTTATTGTCTGTCTGCAGTCATGTAATATATTGCAAAAACTAGGGTAAGACAAAATCGTGTTATCAAATATGCTAATTATTTGCAATAAAATTATATAAATAAACGTGTTCCAGTTCGTTCCACTATATCCTTTTGACAGTTATTTATTCACAGACAGACGTAAATTTCGGTTAAACAAATGCAAAGTGACCGACACCGTATTTATTCTTACTAAATGGCACTTTATTCTCGTGTAAATAGGAATTCACCAAGTATTTTTAGGTAAAAAACTAATTAATTTGGTAAATTTATATCGGTATCAAAGGACATTTTGTTATAAACTAATTAAAATTGGTTACTGAAATCGTGCATTGTTCTTAATTTTCTTGAGACGTTCAAAAGGACAAGCACATTTCTGAAAGGAGGACACATTTTCGTCAAAGTTGATCCGTTCTAGGTCATTTTCACCCCGAATTCCTGGACATATTTTGCGACAAGGACCCCGACAAATGGTATCTTGACATAGCTCGACACAGCCTCCGATCACGTCCACGGAAGAAATTCGGTTGCGCCAAGCGTCCGAAAGAATGTAGCAGCCTTTCCATCGACGTGGGAGGAGTTGGAGGGATGCTCCTGAAAAATAGGAAAATTTGCGAATTATTAGTATTGCGAAAAAATTTAAAACATATAGCGTTTTGCGGGTTTGTTACATTGATTTTTGCCACTGGAAAGGAAGAAACGGGAGAAATGCGAGGTGCACGAAACTGGGAGAAAGTGGGAGAAATATGTGCCATCCAGCCACGCGCCGTAATGATAAAACACCATCCTCTAAATCGGAAACTGTGTTTTTTCTTTGGTTTTCCTAATTTTGAAAATTTGATGGATTTGCACGCCGATTTTCGAATTTTTGGAATATCTGAATACTAAATTAAGACCAGATTCTTTGGTTACAATATTCCTAGAAAATCATGTTTAAAAATATTTCAAAACTCACTCCAAATTAATTTTTGAAGCATTAAGTCACATACACAAGGCTATAAACGGAGTGTGAATTTTCAAGTTGCAGATAATTGCCCATTCTCGAATATTGTGGGTTTGCTACATTTCTTGCAGTGAAAAGAAAGTAACGCACGAAATTCGAGGTGCAAGAAACTGGGAGAAATATGCGCCATCTGGTCACGTGCAGTATGAAGTATTTACAGCGGTGGGGCGTAGTTTCTCGCGTCTTGCATAATTGCATTTCTCCAAAGATCAAAATATTCCCCTGCAAGAAACCACTTTCTCCCCGTTATTTCTTCCACCTGGTTACTTTCACCCGAAAAAGAGTTGCTAAATATTTACCAAATTTATCCTTGCCAAAAACGCATAAATCATCCCATTTCAATTTATGAATTACCTTTAAATTTTGCGTCCTCATACGCCACGACAAAAGTGTCGGTTTGATGGAGGTCGAAGATTCCAGCGTCATCTTGTCCCCCCTCCTCATCGTTACCGTTCTCGAGGCTTGAAATGTCACACAAAGTGTGATACAGACCGGAATAATAGTAGAGAGTGAAGATGAATAAAAGTGCGATTGAAAGGTGCATGATTATTACAAATTGCTTAAAGAAACGTGGATAAAAACAAAATTATTAGCAAAAATTACGCTATAATTTAAACGATCCTTATCCCGTCGTGATCACAGTGCGTGTAAGAACTTAATGCATGATAATTTCAGTCCTTCGTCGTTTCTACCAAAATTCATGAATAGATTCAAATCAAGCTCTTTGTTAAAATTCATACGCCTAGAAAATTAATACGGGTCGGATACATACATACATATTTCAGAGAAATGCTTTTGCAACTATGTCCTTGGCTGGAATTTTGTCATCTTTTTCTCAAAAGTATTTACATATGCATAATTTGAGATCATTTGAATTACATATTTTACATGATTGTGGAATCATTACATCCGTTAGCTGAAGTAACTTCACAAGTTCTTGGAAATGTTAAATACATAGCAAATTTGGAATATTTTTTTTCTGTTTTAAAACCCAGCCAGCATTTCACATTTATTTATTTCGTGATTTTAAAATTTGCATGAAAAATTATATGTAATTAATTATGTGCATTTATTATAACTTTTATGATTATTTTTAAAAATTATGAATTTCATTTGTACAAAAAATTTTAAAATATCGTAAACATCATATATTTTTCATTTACTGTCAACTGTGATTTAATCTTTTCGATTTTTTGGTGTACGACTTGCAATTTTTTTTTACATTTTTGAGAAAGGCGAAGACTTTATCTTGGAATTATTCCTTTAATTTATTACTTACTAATGTATAGTAAAACGGTGTAAAAATCATACAAATTTGCAAATTGTATATATTCCTTGTGTGTATATATTACTTCATTATTTGCACAAGAGGATCGAATAATGGATGAATGATATCTGTTGTTCACATCTGCACGTGAAACATTTTGCATATTTATCTATTTAATTCATGAATCTAATCCATCACGAACTTTACATTTTGCATTAATTCAGAAACAGACATAGGTTTATCTCTACAAATATTGACTTCACGAATATATAGTCAAGATCAGTGGCCGCGGAAGGGTGTGGACAGAGGGACAATGTCCCCACGGTTGTTTGATGTCCGCATCATCTCCCCATGTTATATGAACCCCTCCCTCCCCCCATCAACCCTTACAATGTTAACGTCCCCCGATGTCCCCACGGCTTCCCGGGCCACTGCTCATAGCATTATTCTAAACACTCCATCCAACTGAATATGCATACCGAACACTGAATAAAGTCATGTAACAGAAATAAAGAGACAGATTATCAGCCGGTCTTTCTCGAGTATCTGTGTTCACTGGATTATTTAATAAATTACACACATTGAAATTGACGTTACCAGAAATTCATAAAACTTCCAAAATGGCCCAGGAAAATATTGCAGTGACCAATTTCCGTGAATATTTGCGAATTAAGACGGTCCATCCTGAACCAGATTATGGTAAGGAAAAGGTGCAGAATTTATAATATTTTGCCCTTTTTGACGCCGATTTCGAATTTTTGGGATAAATTAAATAAATATTAGAAAGATTAGATCATAAGGGTTGGGATAGTTTTGTAGCAAAAAATTGCCAAAATATTGAACTTTGGTTCAATATTTTACCATGTTTTATTTTGGCATATTTTAGCATATTTTGCCAAAATTTTACCACGTTTTAGCAAATTTTAGTCACATTGGAGCATATTTTGATATTATTTTACCATGTTTTAGCCACATTTCACCTAATTTTAGTCACATTTTAGCAGATCTTACTCGATTTTTAATCAGTTTTACTAATTTCAATAACTTTAATATTAACCAAAAAGCTTTCTAAATTTCGCAAATTGTATTTTTATTGCAGAAAATGCAATTGTCTGGTTGAAGAAACAAGCGATCGATTTAGGTTTGGAATTTCATATCGTGGAATTTCCAAAACCCAACGAATTTGCGGTTTGGTTAACCTGGCAGGGAAAAGATGTCACGTTAAAGTCAGTCCTGCTGAATTCGCATATTGATGTGGTTCCGGTGGATGCGGTAATAAAAATAAAATTATTGCATTCATAATTCACAAAAAAATGCCAGTTTTTACACAATTTTCAGAATCAAAATTACACTGAATTCATTTTTCACACATATTTTGTAAAATAAAAATGCAATTTTTTTCCATATAATTTTGTCAGACCAAATGGACCTATGATCCTTTCGGTGCGGAAAAAGATGCAAATGGCAACATATTTGCGAGAGGGTCGCAGGTACAAAAAAACGCAAAATATGGCCCAAAATCAGAGTTCAAGGAGTAGAAAAAATGTTACACCAGCAAATGGTGTTAAATTAACATATTTGTCTTAACTATTTTTTGAAGGACATGAAATGCGTCGGAGTCCAATACTTGGAAGCCATTCGTAACTTGAAAGCTCGAGGAGTCGTCCCTCTGAGAACGGTGCATGTCTCCTTTGTTCCAGGTAGGTATGCAGTGGCCGCGGAAGATGTGGGGACATGTGGGGACATTAACATTATAGGATAGGGGAGGGAGGGGTTTATTGTATAACATGGGTAGATGATGCGGACATCGAATAACCGACCATGGGGACATCGTCCCTTTGTACACACGCACCCTTCCGCGGCCACTGAAAAAGGGTCTAAGATTGCTAATATTTGCTCCGTAGGGACATTGTCCCTCTGTCCCCACGTTAAAATTTTACCATTGAAAAAAGGGTCCAAGATTGCTAATATTTGCTCCGTGGGGACAATGTCCCTCTGTCCCCACCCTTCCGAGGCCACTGATTGTATGAAAGAAGGGATGGGCTGGCTGATGAAAAAAGGGTCTGAAAATTACTGATGTTTGCTTCCAAACCACCCTTTATGACTTTGAACATGAAAGAGAGAGAGAGGGAATAATGGACCTCAATTTTATGATTATTGGACCCTTTTCTCCCTCACAATAGCCACAATTGACAATTGACAGTTGTTGACAAACTTCTAAGAAATGAATGAATGAAATGACTCGTCCTTTATATTATTGTCTGGGCTAATTTTATATCGACATACACGAATAATTACCTTATTTGTGAGGGGACTAAACTACCCAGTAAATATTTTAGGGTTATACATACAAATATTTTAACTATTTCCCAAATGAATGTATGACTAAAGTCACTTCAAAGGCGTAGTTTTCGTGTAAAAATAGTCTCGTAAAATCAATCAAATGGGGGAATTAAGTCTACTTTTTCCGAATTAGAAGGACTTGTCGTGCAAAAATAGCGTCGTAAAATCGATACCTCTCAACTTATGTAGCCATCAAATCGGAGAATTAAGAAGTCTGCTTTTTCTAGGATAAAAAGGACTTGTTGACTTAAGCCGATTACTTATTGAGATGTTAATGCGTACACAAATAAATTGTAGATGAGGAGGTTGGCGGATACAAAGGGATGGCATGTTTCGTCAAATCGCCGGAATTTGCATCGTTGAACGTCGGTTTTGCGCTGGATGAAGGGATCGCATCGCCGGACGAGAGTTTCCACGTGTTTTATGGGGAGAGAGCGATTTGGCGTAAATACATAAATAAATAAATAATGCAATTTTTTACTGCGATTTTGCATCGATGGATGACTTTTTTGCGCAGAATTTCGCATGACCGCAAAAGGAAAGACGGGCCACGCTTCTATCCTGCACGAGGACACGGCTGCCGAGAAAATTCATAAGATAATCAACAAGTTATTGGGTCTTCGTGAAGTGGAGAAGGCGAGATTGAAATCCAACCCGAATTTCGACTTGGGCGATGTTACGTCTGTTAATATGACGATGTTGTCGGTAATTAACGTTCTTATATACTCGAAGTTATGCTAATTATGATCAGGGTGCGGGTATTTCTTGCACTGCAAAGCATAAAACGCAAGAAATGCGAGGTGCAAGAAACTGGGAGAAAGTGCAAGAAATATGCGCCATCTGGCCACGCGCAGTATGAACTATTTATAGCGCCGGGACGTAGTTTCTTGCGCCTTGCATTTCTTGCAGGTCAAAATATTCACCTGCAATAAACCACTTTCACCCCGTTATTTCTTGCAAGTGGTTACTTTCACCCGAAACACAGATTTTGATACAGAATTTTGACTTGATGTCAGGGTGGACTCCAACCTAACGTCGTGCCACCCGAGTTGTCCGTCGTTTTCGACATGAGAATCACCCCCCACTGGAAATTGGACGATATGAAGAAGATGCTGGACGACTTGTGCATCGAAGCTGGACCGGAAGTGTCTTACGATTACATTCAACATTCCAACATCATCGCGCAGACGGCCCTGAATGACTCGAACGTCTGGTGGACCACTTTCAAATCGGTGACGGACAGTTTGTACGAAATCTAAAAAAACATAATAATTTCCATACATTTTTTAAGCTGAGTCAGAATTTGAAACTCTGCTTGCATGCAAATTATGAAAAATGTGTGTAGAAAGATGCAACTGAATAGCTCTATATTTCCGGCAAGCACGGATATTATGTTTATTCGAGAGGTATGTATGAAAAAGTCGATTGAAATTTTGAAACTTATATTTTTTAAGGAGTTTGAATTTGAACAAGAAAATATTTCCGGCCGCGACTGACATTCGTTTTATGCGACAGCTTGAAGTGAGTTTTGTACAAAATTGTTTAATTAATTAGCACAGGATTCGATGATTATCAAAATTAGCACATTTTTAACCATTTCTCGACTCTGGGAATTTATTTTAAAATTCTGGACGACAAATTTGTAGTCAGTGAGTTGATTAATGAAATGGCGTTGATTTTTTTAAGCCAGTTTCGATGAGTTCCAAATTTTCTGAAGGCTTCTTAAACTTGAGATCTCTTCCCTCAAAAAGTGTCAAAATCTGGAGTGTATATTTTCAAAAAATTGGGAACTCTCTGTCTTACAAATTTGTCGTCCAAAATTTTAAAATAAATTCCCAGAGGCGAGAAATGATCAAAAATGTATTTATTTTGACGATTTCTTTCAGTGATGAGTCCATACGTTAACATATGTAAATAATTATGAAAATCTCAATTAATTTCATGCAGATTCCTGCCTTTGGCTTCTCCCCGATGAACAATACGCCCGTGCTGCTCCACGACCATGACGAGTTCCTCAATGAGACCGTGTTCCTCCGAGGCGTCGAAATTTACGAGGCCATCCTCGACAAAATTGTCAACGTGACCAAGTCCGATTCCACGCCTTGATCCATTATTAAATTCCTTTCCTAAATACGTGTCCATTTCATTTTATGCATGAAATAAATCACGTATGCATAAAAATTCCCATAAGTGCACAAGTTTACCACCTTAAAAACCCCACAGGGCAGCTTTATTTAGCCCGAGTCAGGGTATTATTAAAAACTGGGGTGAGTATAATACGACAACTTTTTCATTTTTACACACATTTTGCTCATCTTCCAACAAGCTTCCCAATTTTGCATGTTGTACAAGTGTGCAAAATTTCAGATCGATTAGATAAGTTTTAACACGAGTGTAATTGAGAGACAGACAGACAGACAATCATGCGGGTACATAAGCCCATCTTCCAACTTAATTCCTAATTTTGCATGTTCCACGTTTCTGCAAAATTTCATATAGATTAGACCAATTTTATGAGCGTAATCGACAGACAGACGGACAGACAATCACGACGCGTAAATAAGCCCTTTTCAACTTACCTCCTAATTTTGCATTTTCTACAAGTGCCCAAAATTTCAAGTCGATTGGATAAGTTTCACGAGCGACAGACAGACAATCATGCCGGGCACACAAGCCCTGCCTGACTCGGACTACAAAAAAACTGGCCAGATGAGATTTCATTCATTTCTCCCTATATACTTGAACCAGGTCAAATACCTGCCCAGTTCCTAAGACGCATATATTATTCTTCTTGATAGATCTGGCTCAATTACACGTGGAGTGAGGAGTGAGGCACTGGAAAAAAGTGGATCTCACAGCAAATTTTAGCAAGGGTTACTTACTTACTTATTATTGCATTCCATTCGCGAATTCTTATTTCGCAAATTACAATCATCCATCCACCAAACCATCATCACAGCAAGTGAGTCTTCTTAGGTAAACAAGTCTCTCTCGAGTGTGGTTGCTGTGCACATATAAATTGGCAAAAAAAATCGCAAATAAACTTGCTCGCTGCATGCACGTTCGTACAAATATTGCAATAACAAAGGCAGCAGGGTTGACTGTCCAGGATATAATGGAGTGATGTGAATCCATCCATCCATCCAGGGTGACTGCCCGATTTAAAGGACAACTCTCAATGTCAAAATTGTTCATGCAACAGAGCAGCAGAAGTGCAGAATCTTATGTACCACAGTGCATCATACTTTGATGATCAGTGGCCGCGGAAGAGGCGGTGGGGACATTAATATTGTAGCATAGGAGGAGGGAGGGGTTTATATAAGATGGGGAGATGATGCGGACATCGAATAACCGTGGGGACATTGTCCCTCTGTCCGCGGCCACTGACTTTGATGTTATGATTGCAATATAAAAACACGACTAGATTTCGCACGTACGTAGTTTGCCCTGCACTCAAGTAGCATCTACTTGTTAATAAATACATAAATCTAGTATGCATTTTTATGGAGGAGGCTGGATTTTGGTTTTGCATGCAAATTTATGTATGTATGTACTTCTCTGGATCTCTTTTTATTAGAAGAATGAACGAGTGAGACGAATATCTATCTACTGGTTATGTGATGATAAAGGTATTTGGCGTATTTTATTTTGCAAAAATATTTTGCATGGACATTTGCAGAGACGACAGACAGACATTTGGTACGTCTGGAAGTGGGAATAGAAACAGGGATTATATTTCTTTAACGGAGTACATACTCGCAGTTGTTTGATTGCATTTTTGCAATAATTAAATATGACAAGACTAACGATGTGCTGGACATATGATAAGTTTAATTAGGTTTCAAATTTTATTTATGCAAATTTTTATTATCATGTTATTCGTCATAAAAGTCGCCTACAGAATCTGTATAACACAAATATTTCATAATATTTTTGTCACAACCGAGAAACTTGAGACTGCAATTATGTAAAGAGGATCAAAAAACCGATTTTCATACATTCGTAACGATTTGATCGTATTTTTGCAATATTTATGATGACTAGACTAACAGTACATAAATTATTATGATAGTTTAATTAGGTTCCAAGTTTAGATTGTGCAAATATCATGTGCAATTATCTTCGGTCATAAAAGTCGGTTATATATACCGAGCAACAGATAAATACATCAGAAATATGCCATATTTTTGTCACAACCAAGAAACTTGAGACTCACATATGTAAAGGGAACCCAAAAAATGAAAACTGAAAAATGCACGTCACGTCACACTACCCAAAATCTGTGACACAAAAGCGTGCCCTCGTAACAAAATCCTTATTCATAATGCCAATGAACCATCTGTTCCTTTATGCCACCGAATCCCGCATTTTCTCCCCCGGAAAGATTGGATCGCATGCAAAAGCAGGATAAAAAAGAAGTTTGGCTGGCTTATGGAAATGTTTGGTTGGGATTTTGTGTAGCCTTGATGACGATCAGTGGCCGCGGAAGGACAGAGGGACAATGTCCCCACGGTAGTTCGATGTCCCCATATCTTATACAAACCCCACCCTCCCCCCATCCTACAAGATTAATGTCCCCAGACGTCCCCACGGCTTCCGCGGCCACTGATCATGACGACGAATGATGATGATGGGCCTTGACTGTGTGCTGTGCATGAGATGAGTTTCGGGGCTTTTGTTGTTTAGTAAACTTTGAGAACTGACCTATTCCACACGACGAACGAAATGCATACAAAGTCTGTAATGCAACAATGTATTCGTACATAAATGAAATGAAAGTAATGAAAAGAACCGGTTGCATTGCATTTCATTGCACGGAGGAGGAAGGAACAATAGAAATGGACAAAATTATATGTTACATGCCGTTTGAATTATTGCGATAACTAAAGTAACACAGATGCAAATATTGCATTGCATAAATTCTGCACGTGCCAAAATGAAAAATCCTCCACACTCGTACAATCAACTCGATTTATGAGGAAAACAAGATGACCTTCACGGTCGTGTCATGGTCCAGTTCAATTCGAATAATAAAGTTTTGTTTTAAAATGGGAAACGTTCACTAATTTTCATGAGGATGAAGATCTGATTACGAATTTTGTGTAGGTGAGTAATTATTATGTGATGAGTCATTATTATTACGATTTTATCTGAAGGTCTGATCTGATTAAAATCATCATGAGTAGTTGTATGATACGTATTTACGTAGCATGAAATCATGGCGGATGAGTTATCCAGCTGAGGAAACATGGAATTACACATACATATTTACCCAAAAACTACGATTTATTTGTGTGTTTGGTAAATATATATGACGGGATGGTGGTGGTAGTGGTGATGATAAGTAAATTGTGTATGATAAGTACACGAGGAGTAAACAAAGAGTTATCATGATAACTTTATTTTGCCAGCAAAAAAACTGGAGCAATCAATTTCGATAAGTATTTATGTATTTAACAAACGGACAGACTACCTATTTCTTGATTAGCAAAAATGAATCGCATTTTTGCTCCTTATTATCGCGAATTATAATTTAATTCAACCCCAATTTCCGGTGGATCCAGTCCACTCATTCATTTCACTTCACTTGAAAGCAATTAAATCAACTAAATACTTATCAATCAATCAATTAAATGTATGTATTGGGGAAGAGAAGAACGTTTCATGGAAAATTCTGGTATGCAAATCATCATTCATCCCAAATTCGCCAACTTACTTTTGCAAAGGTAGTCATCCTGATGCATGTCTCATCTCATCATTTGTGCAATTCGTACCTTCACAACCTTTGCTAATTTCTTCGTCATTCCAAAGAAGCCAAACCTGGTTTGGATTCGCGAATATTTTTGCAACCTTCTTACTCCACTGCACTCACATTTGCACACCAAGATTTCCGAAATTGGCCTCAGAAAACGTCAGAAAAGCCTCCTCATTTGATTTTCTGGTTGGCAACAACATATTCCAAAAGCAACTTTTGCCCGTAACATTGCTCTCTCTGCCTGAACAAAGAAATTCACGTTCAGGTTTTGCTCTCCACCACTTTCCTCCCCTTCTCCACAATGAACTCTCCCTCACTCCTGAAATCATCCCACTATTTCTCAAAATTATGATAGAAATTTCCCAAAATTTCCAAATCTCTTCAGCCTATCTTATCCCCCAGAATTTTTAACGCGTTTTCATCCAAATTTTGTTAAAATGAGGGCTAAACTCGAATTATAATTAATTTCTGGAGAATTATTCTCTCCATCGGGGTACAAAGGGAAACCCGCCATGATGCAGGCAGTGGTGGTGGTGGCGATCACTGGCCACGGAAGGTGTGAGGGGACATCGAGGGACAATGTCCCACAAGTTTTAGATGTCATCTGCCCATCTTATATAAACCCGTCCCTCAATGTTAATGTCCCCCCATGTCCCCCCTTTAGGTTGCGCGGCCACTGCAGGTGGAGAGGCAAAGCGAGGCATAGAAGGCAGGAATGGAGGGAAGTATTGCAGGGAATTTTTGACTCAACTTTTATCTATCCCAGCCAGCTTAGCACAACTTCAGTGTTGTTTTCCTTACCAAGAGGGACACAAGTGTTTGTTGGTGGCTGGAATATAGCAAATAGCCGTGTGTAACATATACAAACGTCAACAAACACTTGGCGCGACGACGACGACAAACACGGCGACGTCGAAATGGACTTGATGTACGGTGGTGGGGGGTGTGGTTCTTCGAGGAAATTAAGTCTCGAAGAAATGATGGAGGGTGACTTGAAGTACTCTTTCGACGATATGGATCTCCTCCTTCAAGTGCCCTCCGACCTGAGCCCGCCCGGCTCCTCGAAATCCTTGGAAGATTTTATGTTGGAGGATTTAAACAGTTGTGGGGACGAGAGGGGAGATTTCCTGTTTGGGGAGGAGGGCCTGGAAGAGTTTGGGATGAGGTTTGATAGTACGGGAGGAAGGGGGGATGAGGGGATTGATATTTTTGATAATTTCGTGGTGGAGGAGAGGTTGAGGGTGTGTAGTAACAATAATAATGATGTGGCGACGACGACAAAGGTCGTGGCGACGACGACGAGTAAGGAGAACAGTGTTTTAAATAAGAATAACTTGCAGCAAAAAGCCGTGTCGGTTTCGATTAATGGGAAAGTTTCGAAAGTTGTGGTTCAGAATGGTTTGGTGAGAAATGGAACGACCACGACGACAGGGAC